TCCACCAAGAGGATGGGCACTGTTGGCTTTGCTCATCCTGGTAGATGCTCCAGGTCCTCAGGAGACAGGGGGGAAGGCTGGTGCCAGGGGGAATCCAGCCTGGGGCTGTGAGAGCTCCCACCTGCAGCAGAGGACATTCCCACAGTGGTTCAGGGCAGAGAGACCCTCTGCTGCTTTAACCCTGTCCTACCTGACTTGCAGCTGCAGCATCCCACAGCACAGGCCCCATTCTGACAAAGTTACCAGCAGTGGGACAGGAGATGGAGGTGGCGCAGACAAACACCTTGCTGGGGCTGTGCAGCCACCAGTGCCCAGCTCCCCATCTCACGTGGGGCACCTCAGCCCTGCTCAGCCACACAAGCATCCATCTCCTCATCTCACCTGCAGCATCTCAGCCCTGCTCAGCCACACCAGTGCCCAGCTCCTCATCTCAGCCCTGCTGTGGCTTCCCGGCCCCTCTACAGCCTCGGTCCCTGCAGGGCTCCCCTGTGCCCTGTCTGCTGGCGCTGGCAGCTCAGCAGGGCACAGCAGGGTCCCTGCCCAGGGTGGCAGCTGGTGGCCAGCAGCCTGCCTGGGCAGAGCCTGCAGCCAGCTCCCTGCCCCGTGCTCCTTGCCAGCCCCACGGCGCTCCCGCTGCAGGAGAGCATTTTGCTAATCCCTCCATCCCTGCCCCGTGCCCAGCAGCACAGCCTGCTGCCAGCTCTGCAGGGAAAGGCTTTGGAAGCACCTGGGGCTCCAGCAAGGGATGCTTCCCTGTGAAGTGGCTGGGGCAGGAGCCACCTTCCAGCCCTGAGGGCTCCTAAACCACCCAAGCAGCCTCAGAACAGGCCCTTATGTACACAGAGCAGATTTAACTCTGCCCAAGCTGGAACCAAACAGTTCATTCTCTCAAAAATTGGCTGATCTTCCTGACAGAGGGCCAGGAATGCTGGGAGGGGTCTGAGAGTGGTAGAGTGTGGAGCATTCCATTGTCCCACCCTGCTCCTGGACACCTCAGCCTCCCCCATACACAGAGAGCAACAGATCTGCACTACCCCAGAAAATTATCCACAGGTTATTGTCCAGGCCACAACCTTAGTGGTGTTTGGAGGAGGATTAAATATTTATCTGGAAAACAAGGATGTACACAATAGAATTCAGCAGGATTAGTGATAAAGCCCACAAAGATCCACTCCTGGGAGCCAGAGCCAGTTGTTCCCTTCCAAGGGAAGCCCCGTGCCCCCAGGGTGGATCACCTCACCTCCTGCCAAGGCTCCTGCTCCCCTCCTGTTTGTGGTTTGGAGGAATTACTGTCACCTCCTCCCACAGATCCCAGCTGACCCTTTTCTCTTAATTGCGCACCAGAGAGATGAAACCCCAGTGCTGGTGTCCACAAATTGCTCCTCCCTGGCATGGTTTAATCTAGGAACAGTTCTGTTTCTCCTCTGTGAGAAGAAAACCCTCCTTGACCCTGGACACGCTGGAAAACGTGAGCCTTCACCTCCCTGAAGGAACTCTGCAGCAGTGTGGAGCCAGCAGCACTGTCTAGTACTCATTAGAGCTTGGAGAGCTTTGTGTAACACAAACAGACCAACAACCTGGAAATAAACCTCTAACATCCTCTCCCTGCACACAGAGAAGCTTAATATATATGTCACAGCCTGTGCCTATAGTCTGACACTCTATCACAGCAGATGGGATCCTGCTAAGCATCCTTGGGATCAGCACTGCAGAAAACAAAAGGGTGGGAAAGGCCCCAGCACCTCTTTCTTTTCCATTACACACATCTCATACAGGAAAGGTGCCTTTGGAGAGAGATATTCCTGGAATAGCCAGGATTTATGGCATGCCAGAAATATAAATGCAAGCAGGATGTTGCACTGGAGCTCAGCCACCTCAGCAAGGGTCTCCCACCGCCCTGGGGAGCTGCCCAGCCTGCAGGCAGGAGAAATTCCTTGCACACCCCCAGATGTTTAACAAGTCCTTTCCCTGTAATATTCATTTCCCACAGTGGCTTACACAGTCCCTGCCAGGGAATATCAGAGATTTCTGTCATTAATTATCCATTTGTCCAGGATAGGATTTAACTGGAAATTATTTGTTTAAAAAGGAGAAAAGTATATTAGTACATCGAGGAGGTCTCTGTCCTTTATTTGCATCGTGTATATAATTCACTGGAAATCGAAGTATTCAGATTATTTGAATAAGTTACTGGCCTCTGCCTGCCAGCCAGGAAGTTCAGCAGCCTGTGGTGGGGTCAGTACCTTTCCATGGCTTCTTACTTTTGATTTTTTTCCAGAGGAAACAACTCAGCACCAGTCTATTTCCTAATCCACAGTATTCTACCAGAGTCCACACAAATGTCTCTAAAACCCAAGGGGACAAATCACCAACTCCTCTCAGCCTGCACTGCCCAAAGAGCTGCTCTGCATCCAGATGCTTTGTTTTCTACGAATTTTCTACCCCCCTTACCCCTCCTCCTTTGGCTTTTCCCATCTCAGCTCATGCTGGGGAGAGCAGCACAGAGCTGCCCCTCTGAGCCCTTCTCGGAGCTGAGCTGCCTCCTGTGATTTCCCAAGCTGGCTGCTACCTTCCAAGCTTATCTTCACCATCTGAGGCTTTTCAGGAGCTCTTGTCCTTGCCAAATCTCGCGTTCCTGGAGTTCCAAATTTTCCCCGACTTCTCTTGCACTTTCCCATCTCCCAGCATTGCAGCCTTTAATAACTGCTGCTTACCCACATGTACACACAGAATGTCAGAGACCTCTGGCCATTTCCTGACTCATTACTCACTCCTTGGCTCTGCACAGCCCACTTAGGAAATTTTGGAGTTTCTGAGTGTCCCTGGTTGCTGCCTGCCCCGTGCAGCCCAGCCAGCCTGGTTGAGGCGGCCCTGTGGCAGGTCAGCCATCAGCTCTGAGGAGTTTCCAGAGCCTCCTTCCTTTTCAGAGCGTGCCAACAATGATGTTTTCCAGCCACAGGCTCTGCAGGTATCACATCAGCCACTTCCCAGGGTGCAGAGGCACAGAGCACAGCAGTCCATGCCACCAGAAATGCCCCTGCACTCTTTCAGCTCAATTCCAGCTGCTTTCCCACACTCCTTGCGCAACCCACGCAGGCCGCACCCTTTCCAGAGAACTCACATGGAGGGTTTGACCCCACTCAGCCCCACAGAGGCTCCACAGCCATTGCACAGGGTCGGGGTTTGAGGCTCTCCTGTGCTCAAGGCTTTGCAGAAGTGGTGGGTTTCCCTATGACCCAGATGCCGCTGCAAATCTGAAGCTGCTCCGCCACTGCATCCCAAAATTCACCCTCAGATTTCTGCAGAGGCTTTGGGAAGATGGAGCATGCTGAACTCAGAGCCTGCCCCATGGACAGCAGGGGCTTTTGTTGAGAGGGATTAGTGCAAGGGGGCTGGAAAGGGAATCCTGCCCCAAAAACCAGAGCACTTTGTCCATCCATGGCCCTTCCCACCCTGAGACTTCCTGATGAAAGATCCCTCGTAGAGCAGAGCCAAGCGAGGGGCCCTGCAATAAATCAACACCCCAGAGACTTGGGCTGACGCAGACATTCCTGAGCAGATTTAATTCTTGTTTGTGAGGAGGGATCCCTCCACATCCACGCTCTGCACACCCCGGCCACTAGAGAAGCATCTGGCAGCCAGTCCACGGCTCAGCTACCCCAGACACATCACAGGGCTGCTGATCAGCAGGAAAACCCTCTGGTTCCAGCAGATCATAAGCTTATTAAAGATAGATTTGTGCTTTGGTCTGCAGAGATAAACAGATCAAAGGCATTTTGGTCTGTGTGCCAGTGCCGCTGTGTCCCCGTTTGGCAGAGAGGGAGGCTGGGATGTGCTCCCCATTCCCAGTGCAGGGCATTGGGGGCACAGCAGGGAGTGTGCTCAGGGCCACATGCAGACTGTAATAAGCCCATTATTGGCTATCTGCATGGGGAACTTGGAAGCAGCTCCCTCACAGGACTCCCTGGGCTGCTCTCCCCAGCCCTGCAGAGCCAGGGGTGGCCAAGCTTCGCTGGAGTTCTGCTGCCAGCCCGGGATCTGCTCTGCTCAGGAGGAACAGCTAAAAGGGGAAACAGCTCCTTGCACAGCTGGCCCAGCAGCTGATATTTGCATAGTGCTTTGAGACCCGCAGATGAAAGATTTGAGAGACACGAAAGGCTGTCACTGCCTGTTTGTCATTTCGTGGTTCCTCCCCACTATCGCACGCAAAGGAGACACCCTTCAGGAGAGGTGAGAGCAGCTTGAGGGAAAGATGAAACTGTGGAGGCTTTTCCTGCCACGTCCCCTTGCACAAGGAGCACATCTGCACCCCAGAGCTGGCTGGGCTCCAGCTCCCTCCACCCATTTTACAGTCACCCCACCTCTGTCCTTATCTGTCCCCAGATGGTGACAAGAGTCACCATCCTCCCTGAGCCACCCCTGATATCCCTCCAGGCTCAGCTGTGCTTGCTCTCAGGGGGTTCTCATGAATTGCAAAGCCAAAAATTTGGAATGAGTGACAGCATCAGGGCTCCCTACAACAGACAAGTGTGTGCCTGCAGAAGAGAGCCGGGAGGGAGGGAGGGAAGGAACCTTGGCACATGGCAAACCAGCAGCAAGGGCCCTGAAACTCCGGGTGAGCGAGGAAGGTGATGGTATCACTCAAGAAAGCAGCACAGGAGGCAGCAGGATCCCACTCCCCTCTCCGTGCCAGGCACGGCTCGGCGGAGCCTGGCACGCCGGAGCTGGGCTCGCTTTGAGCATTTCAAATTTGCCGGATGATAACCTCGGTGTCTGAGCTCGCACTCTGGTCCCACCCACTTCAGATCTGACTCATGTTGCAGTCACCGCTGCCCGGGTATTGGTACGAGAGCAGGAGAGAGGCTGGTCCGAGAGGAGGGAGCGAGGAGGAGGAGGAGAGCAGAGAGGAGGAGAGGAGCGAGGCAGCGCCGCTCGCAGCTCTCGCTGCCGCCTCCGCGCCCCAGCCGCAGCCCCGGGGCAAAGTTGGAGCCGGAGCAGCCCCTGAAGCCTCCCGCACGCCCAGGGGCTCTGAGAAAGCAGCGCCTTTCCCAGGTAATGCTTTTCCTTACTTCTTGCTGAGTTGTTACGCTGCTAAAATACTTTTTAGGTGAGATCCAGGAGGGTTGGTGGGTCCCTGCTGAGTGGGATCCTGCATTGGGACGGCTGGGTCAGGTGAGAGGGTGACACCTGTCAGATGCTGGTGCCATCAGCATCCTGTGGTGGCTGAGTGCAGGCCAGTTTGGGGACTTTTTTGGCTGTTGCTGGTGGGGACAACTGGATCCGAGAACACCAGGGGAAGGACATGTGTGCAGTGTGCCCAGGCAGAGCCCTGCACATCTGTGGGGTGCAGCCTCTCTGCCCAGGCAGCCTCCCCATGGGGCTGCTGCTGATTTCTCACACTGGCCTGCCTGAGCCTTTTCCCTGGGCACTCCAGCCCTTCCATTGAGCCTTTTCCCTGGGCACTTCAGCCCTTCCATCCAGCCCTGCACACCCTGGGGGGATCTGCTGCTGCCCCATCCCAGGGCACAGTCACATCTGTGGGGCAGGACACCCCCGGGCTGGGCTGTAGCACAGGAGGGCTGGGCAGTCCCAGGGGCACACAGTGCTCGCTGTTCCTGTCCAGAATCAGCTTCAGCAGGAGCTGAATCCCAGAAACTTAGACAGCTCCAAGCACACCCCTGAGCCCGACTCCTCTGTTTTCAGTTTCACCTTTCCAGGACACCGTTTGCCGAGCAAACTTTCAAAATGCTGATTGCTCTGTGCATGTCCACATTCCTCTTCACATTTCCTGATTTCAGGGGTCCTGAACAGCTTCTTACCCACAGAGCCCCTTTCCTCCTGGGGAAGCATGATGGAGGGCTGTTGGCAGTGATGGGAATTTTGTCCTGGCTCCCCCAGCTCCTCTGCTCATGCCAGAGGCAATAATTGCTGCTGTGTATCAGACATCACACTGGGATAGGGCAGAGAGAGCACCAAGTTCTGGAGAAGCCCAAAGAACAGGGACAGAAGCATCTGGGGATGCAGCCAGGCAGGACACCAGTGTCCCCTCGAATTTGTCCTCTGCCACATTGCCTTCAAGTCCCACCTGTGACAAATTTGCTGCTGTCCCATTGTGAATCGGGCTTATGGGCCTGGCAGAGGATCAATAAGCCCATTCCCAGCTTAGGAATTTTGCAATTCCCACCATCAAACCTCAGGCATCCTGTCTCAGACCAGAAGAATCCCCCACACTCCTTCCCATCTCTCAGCTGAAATACCTCTCCCAGCATGCCCAGATGTTTAATCTCAGGCAGGAGTTGAATATAGTTCTAGAAAAAGCCATGATGCTCTGCTGTGAGCTCTGCATGGCCAGGGGAATGCACTTTGCTCCCAAGTGCAAAGAGCTTTTTCTGCCTGCTCTTTTCTCAGACAGAAGCTATCATGGGAGGCAGAGGAACATTTCAGGTCTGCAAGGGCACAGCCCTCCTGTCCTCCTAAGGACAGAGGTAAAAGGCTTCATGTGGTGCTTCTCCTGAGGCTTCAGCCACCTCTGTCCTTTCCAGAAGTGGGAAATATTTCCCAAAGAGAGGCTGCCACATTCAGGCACCTCCTGAGTGCTCCTCTCCACTCGTGTCTGCTCACAGTGCCGATGTACCCGGGCTTTTAACAGGTTCAAAACAAACCTGTTATGCCAGGAGTAGAAGCACAGGAAGGGAGAGCAGCCAATGCATTCCCTGCCAGAGCTAGCCCTGCATCCCACTAATCTTACTGCAAAAGTGCACCAAGTGCTGGAATTAATGATACTGGAGGAAAGGATGCTGAGAGATGGGGAAATAAAAAGGTAAAACGCAACAGAAATTTCCCATTAATAGATCACAGCCCCCTCCCCAGAGGAGATAAATGCCATTTTAAAGAGGAAAACAGCAGATCAAATGCAACATGGACTGCAGCAGAGCAGAAAATATCTGTTCAGGCAATAGAAAGCAGAAATTACTATGAGAATTGTAAAGAGGATAATGGGGAGACGATAGGATATTACAGCGGAAAGATCATTAATGCACCAGAGAAGGCTATTAACAGAGTTCCTTAAAGATCAGCCTAGAGGTAAATTTTATTTAATGGTTTTCATTAGTGATCTTGGCTCTGAAAATTAGTGCTTCTTTAAGAGAAATGTACTGGTGAGAAACTTGTGAAAAGTTCTGCACTGGACAAGGGACTAAGTACTAGAGGAGAAGAACCAGAGGATCTGTAGATAAATAGAAACACACCAGGCTGGCACAGGCTCACATGCTTAGCAAAAATTGCTACTCTAAGCAGCTGAAAACACCATAGGAAAAATATCTGACTTTTGGGGAGCCCCAGGATGAGTGCAACAACAAATGCAACCTGACAAATCTTCACAGCAGAGATAGTGTCAATCAGAGCACCAGTGCCATGGAAAAGGCATGAGAAAGATGACCCAGAAGCTGTGTCCTGCTCTGGTTCCTTCAGTGTCAGGAGGGTGATTTTGAACCTCAAACAGGTCCAGGCTGTGATAATGAGGATAATCAGGTAAATGTAAAAGCTGCCTGGTGAGACAGGGCTGGAAAGGTGTCATTTATTCCGGCTGTTGCTGGAAAGACTGCCATGGGAAACAGCTGCTCCACTCGTACATCGAGGAGGAAATCAGCTCACTCTGCCAAAACACAACAGGAGCAGAGGACACAGGTAGTGAAGGTGGCTGTGAGTGACCTGGGCACAAAGCCAGGGGCACATGTGGAGTCACAGAGAGCCAATGCTCCAGGAGAGAGCTCTGAGCTGGATGCATGGTCTGTGTCCTGCTGGCAGTGAGCTGACAGCCCCCCAGCTGTACCAGCCCCCCAGCCTGCTCTTCCTGCAATGCCATGTCCCGAGGCAATGCTCTCCTGGGGGAGCATTTCCATGAGATAATTTGGCTGGGGGATACGGGAAGGTGTCCCCCACCTCCACCACAGTTAGGGTTGCAGCATCACACATCCGAGCTGACAGGAGGCAGGTGCTGCCCCATTCCATGGAGGAACATCCCAAGGGTTTGCAGGCAGCTGAGCCCTGCAGAGTCCCAGCACTACCTGAGCTCCTCTGCAGGGATGGGGACACCTCTGTCCCCTTGCAAGTGGCCATTCCTTGCCCTGAGCTAACCTGAAAAAGAAATAAGAAGCAAAGCTCCTCCTGGGCACATCAACAGGGCAGGGCTGCACCAGGAGCTGAATGAGCTGAGGCTCCCAGAGCTGGGTCCCACCAGCAGAGCCCACGTGAGCTGGGAGAGCCAGAGGCAGGAGCAGGTTGTTGGTGTGTGGTGAAGCAGCCACGTAGGAGGCTGCCATCCACCCACAGCATTTTCTATGTGTGCTACTCCCCCTATAATTTAATCTGCCATTTCCACATGTTGGGAGCAATGAAAGCACATCCCTTTCACTTGGAAATACCCTTCTGTGGGAACAACCTGTTCTCCTCGCTGCCATCAGTGGGCAGGCAGCGCTCAGCTTGTTCCACACTCCTTTTGTGAGTGAACAAAGAGCTTTCCATGGCAAGAGCCTGTGCTGCAGCTGGAGGTGAGGAACTGCTCCACACGCTGCTGCTGCCGTGGCTGAAAGCATCGCATCCCTCTCCAGCAGCCTCAATCCCAGCACCCAAACTCAGAGGGCTGCCTGTCTGCCAAGGAGTTTGCTCTGCTCAGCAAAGGCTTCCCATGGGCTGGTTCATGGCTTGTTTGCTTTCCATTTAGAAAGCAGCAGGGCTGTGGGAGTCACCTCTAATCTCAGTGGTCCAGTCCCAATCTCTCCCCTGTATGGCTCCTGGCAATCAGGGGTTGTTTACTCATGCAGTTTTCCCTTGTGTACTCCCTCCCATGGCCCTCATGCCTTCAGACTTCAATCAGAGACATAAATCATCTAAAGAATATTTCAACCTGCACCACAGGTGTTATCTTGTTGATGCAGAGGGAGTTTAAAATCTCACCTTTGTCCTCTGACAAGGCTGGATCTTTTCCTTTCCTGGAGTTTCTTCTGATTGCTCCATCTCTGCAGCCTGCTGCAGCTCTGCCTTCCTGCACAATCCCGGGCACCACCAGGGAGGCTTCACTGCTGTTCCGTGGGTGCAGAGACCTGCAGAGCTGGGTCCTGCACCACCCACAGGGACCAACACATTGAGGAGGATAGGGAGATCCCTCAAACCATCTGGGAGACCACAGCTTGGACACAGGCAGGTCCATGAGGGTCAGCAAGTCAGTCCAGCTCCTCAGCCCATTCCCAGCCCTCTCTCTTGTCCCTGCACTGCCTCAATTCCCCTTTAGGTATCTTCCGAACATGGATATTGCTTCCAATCAAGGACCCAAAGAACCTTTGAGTCTAGTAGTGGCAGGGTCTTGGAGATCATCATAACCAGCAGCTCATTTGTAAGTTAGAGTGGTTTGCTCTGTTGTTTCTTCCCTGGCAACATGTAGCGTTTTGTTATTTGTATCCAGACAGAAAACAGCCAGAAAAAGCCACTCTGCAAGGGATATTCTCTTTTCCTCCCAGGACCCAGAGCAGAGCGGGGATTTCCCATACAGGCATCAGGAGCTGCTGTGATTTGTGATGGCAGGATAGCTGCTGCAAAGCTCAGACACAAGGACAAAGTTTCATGAGATCGGCAGCTGCAGCCAAGATTCAGAAATTACATAGTTGCGACTAATTTTGCTGAATTGCATAAGAACTGCTATCTCAGGAAAATTGTTTCCTCATATCCTCCTCGTTCTCACGTTTATTGTAAGCCTATAGGAAGATGACAATTTTAAAATCCCTGCCCTTCTCTCAACATCCCTCCATTACATGGGCACCCCTAGGGCTGGGAGAGCCCAGCTGGCAGGTACACGGGTGCCTGGCTGCCAAAGGACTTTCAATTTGGGTATAAGTGGGCTGGAGCAGCCAGGGACTACAGACCCTGCTTCTGGAGGGGCTTGAAGGGAAGCTCAGAGGGTCTTTGCCCACTGCAGCTCTGACTTGATGCTTTTAGAGAATCACAGAATGGCTTAGAAGGCATCTTACAGATTTCATTCCACCTCTCTGCCAAGGACAGGGAAACCTGCTGCAACACCAGGCTGCTCAGAGCCTCATCCAGCCTAGACTTGAACAGCTCCAGGGATGGGGCAGCCACAGCTTCTCTGAGCAATCTGTGCCAGGGTCTCACCAGACACTTTCTTTTGCAGGCTGTCCTTGGGAGGTGGCAAAGCTCTGTCCCTGTTGGAGCATTGCTGACCACTATCACCAACCAAACATGCAGAGAGCATGAGAGCCCATAGGACCTGACTCAGTCATCACTCAGAGGAAAGGAGAAGGCAAGAAAGGAAAAGAAGTAGCTGAGATCCACCAGCAGCTGCCACAGGGCATCGGCTCCAGCACTGAGCTCCCAGAGGGGGCCAACAGCACAAATAAGTTGCAGTGCCACATCTTTCCTAGACCATGTCATTCCCAGCACACAAGGCTGAACATGTAAAGTGACTCTGCAATGTTCTCCAAGGTCCCTGTAGAACAAGGGTCACTTCAGGAAGGGCTCTAGGCCTGCCTGGTCCAGGCTCACTCCAGGCAGCTTCAGAGCTGATGAGAGCAGGACTGCTCCATCCTTGCAGTGACACCATGGATCCATGTTACAACCACACAAGCTCTCAAAAAAGTATGGACCCCTCCATGCAGCTGCTGGTGGGGTTCTTTCTGGGCGTCCTCATCATGATCACTCTCTGTGGTAACATCATCGTGTGCCTGGCCGTCACCCTGGACCGGCGGCTGCGGAGCGTGACCAACCGCATCATCGTCTCCCTGGCCATCACAGACCTGCTGCTGGGGCTGCTGGTGCTGCCCTTCTCTGCTTACTACGAGCTCACCAACGAGTGGCCCTTTGGCAGCGTTCTGTGCAACATCTACACCAGCCTGGACGTCATGCTGTGCACGGCCTCCATCCTCAACCTCTTCATGATCAGCCTGGATCGCTACTTCGCCGTCACCACCCCGCTCCGCTACGGCCAAGTGGTCACTCCCTCGCGGGTGGCCGTGGGCTTGGCTGTCATCTGGACTGTTTCACTGATGGTCTCCTTCCTACCCATCCACCTGGGCTGGAACACCAAGGGGACAGCGGTGCAGAACACAAGCACCACCTGCAGCAAGGAGTGCACGCTGGGAGTGAACCTTGAGTACGGGTTGGTGGACAGCTTGCTCACCTTCTACATCCCTCTGGTCATCATGTGCATCACCTACTACAAGATACTCAGGATAGCCAGGGAGCAAGCCAAGAGGATAAACCACACGTGGGGCAACGCGCCCATGTCCCCCATGGTGAAGGAGCACAAAGCCACCATGACGCTGGCAGTGGTGCTGGGAGCCTTCATCGTGTGCTGGTTCCCCTACTTCACCCTCTTCACCTACCGGGGCGTGTCGGGGGACAGCCAGGTCAAAGGCACACTCATGTCCATTGTGCTCTGGCTGGGCTATGCAAACTCAGCCCTGAACCCCATCCTCTATGGGACACTCAACAAGGATTTCCGAGTGGCATACCAGAACTTGCTGCACTGCTGCAGGACAGGATACCCCAGGAACTCCCACCTGCCTCCCCTGCAGCAGGCCCAGCCCAGAGGCAGGCAGGGCCAGGGCAGGCAGGAGGGCAAACCCTTGAAGCTGGAGGTGAGGAACGAGAAGGGGACTCTGCTCACTGATGGAGCCCTCAAGAGGTAAGAGCCTTCCTACACTAGAGTTTGATGGTAGGTCTGCCCCAGAGAGGAAGGCAGAGGCAGGGACCCCACATTGTCCATGGTCTTTTAAGCAACAAAGCGATGCCCCAGCTGGAGATCCTTGCTACAGGCAACTCCTAAGTTCAGCCACTCAGAAATTCCTCACCACCCATAAGAACCCAGCTTGCATCCCCTCCATGGTGGCAGCACAACTCCAGGTATTCCAACTTCCCACCAGGCTGGGCCTCCCCTGGAATTGCCACCACTCACAGGGAGCACAAAATGTCCCCTGGCTTTGCTGGGTAATGGGGACAGTTGCCATCAGAATTTGCTGTCCAGAATGGGGTGAAGCTTTTAGCTGGGGCTGCTCCCCAAAGTCAGCCATGTCCCTGTGAGGAGCAGACAGCAAATTCTGGGCACAGAACAGAGCTTCAGGGGCCACGAAAGGTGACAGAAGGGAAGATGGGAATTAGTCCTGGGGCACAGTCAGAGCACCTGCAGCCAGGCTGGGAGTCCCTGCAGGAGCCAAGGTCTGGGTTCCCAGCTCCCTGCAGAGCAGCTCAGCCACTTCCCTCCCCATCCAGCCACACACCCTCAGCGTTTCAGTCACCAGTTTCCATCAGCAGTGAATTCAGCCAACAGCAAGTTCCATTCCCATCTCTGGAAAGGGGCAGGAGTAGCCCAAATTAGGCTGTCAGATGCTTTTAGAAATACAAATGGCCATGTAAAGTTACAGCAAAAAATTCCCTCAGTGCCACCCCAAGCGTGTTACGAGGGTCAGCCCCAGCAAAGGGTGTGATGAGGGAGCAGGGTGGGAGCAAAGTGGGCAAGTTCTGTGCCAGGCTGTCTCCTCAGCCCCCTCCCTGGGCACCCACATCCCCTCAGGGCTGTGCCACCCTCTCACTGCCTCGCTCCAAGGTGTTCACCCAGCCAAGCACAAGGAGAACGGAGAGGCAGGCTGTCAATCTGCTGCTCCTGAGATAATCTAACCACCAAGCAGTGCCTGATAAGCAGCCCAGAAACTTTCCATCCATAGATAAGGAGTCCTTTGATTCCCTGTTCCCAGCGTGGCAGCAGAGAAGCCGCGCTCGCTCGCGCGCTCTCCCGGCACGTGCCCTTGATCCTGCCCCAGAAAGAGTCTTAAGCCACCAAAAGGAGAACTCAGGGAGGTGAACCAAAGTTCAGAGCCATCCAAAAGGCTGATCCAGCATCCTGCCTCCCCCAGGGCACCAATGTGACTGTACCCAAGGGAGGGGTGCAGAAAAAGAGGTACAGAGGGATGGATTAACAGGAACAAATACAAGAATGCAGCTCCTGGGGCTGCCTTTTTCCATTTCCAAGGAATTAATGAGGAGCCCAAAGTTACAGCATTTGGCAAATTGTAGGTTGTGTATAAAAACATATGGAAAACATGTCTAAGGTGGTGGGGGTGTTTCTGCAAACATACAGAGACAAAGAGAGCTCTACTGTTTACTCACACAGAAGTGCAGCCCCTGGGCAAACCAGGAGCTCTGTGCTGAGGCTCTGCAGCTGAGCCAGGAGAGCTCAGGGGGAACAGGCTGAACAGGCTGTTGGGACTGCCCTGCACAGCCAAGAGAGAACAGAGTATAAATGTCAGTGTCTTCTCAAAATGCTGACTTACCACAAAGGGACAATAATGGCTTGGAGGGAGATCAAAAGGGAAGGAAAATGGGTTTCTGTTCCTCAGGCAGAGGGCAGGGTCGCTGATTTCCTGGCTTTTACCCTCGCAGCTTTTCCGGGTAGAAGAGATTCTTCCCCTGGTTCCCCACAGGAAACACTCAAGCAAGGGGATGTTTCCTGACCTTTCTAAATCCAGTGAGCTCCACCCCATCCTCCACAGTATCACTACTGTGGTTTCCACTCACAATCGGATAAGGGCTGCTCAGGCACCTGCTTTTACTTTCTCTCCTTCTCTTCATAGCCCTCTCACCTCACAGCAGTCATGCACCAATGATCATATGTGGCCCCTTCCAGCCCTTTTTTCCATAGTCAGATACACCAAGATCTGCTGTTGGCAGATGATCAGGATCAGCTAATGCCACACAAGACAGGTGAGCACAGGATTTACCTGTTCACCAAAAGCCTGGCAGCCAATTTCACCCACAGCACAAACCAAGCTGGTTCCTCTCTGCAGTCTTCAGAGTCATCTGCCCTGAACATGTTAACAGGAAAAGACCAACATAAATCATTCCAAAAACTCATAACCCCCCCCAGACAGGAACACCCAGAGCTCAGAAGAGCTCTGCTCAGAGAAGCTCCATGGGATCATTCAAGGGAAAACAGAATTTTGAACTGTTGCCCTTAATAACAATGTTCTTTTCAGTTATGAGGCATAGGGAAAAGACTAACAAACAAGAGTGGAAATACTGGAGCACTGCAGCAGTCTCAAGGGTCACTCAGAGCCTCAGTCAGGAGCAGGGCAGGGAATCAAAAGCCACAGGACCTCCAGAGCAGCTGGGGCTGGAAGGCACTTCCATCAGTGAGGACCAGGTAGGGCTGAGAGTACAGGACCAAGCAGAGATGCAAGGGGAAGACAGCTGCTCCCATTTCCACACCAGGCAACTCACACAAAACCAGTAAAGAAAACCAGAGGACCTCAGGAACCTGTTTCAGTGCAGTGGGACAGGGCTCTGAAGAGCCCTGGTTCTTGGCTTGCTCTGTAGGCTCTGAGAGCAGACCCTGATGTTCAGAGAGATTAAAATCCCATGAGAGGAAGCATTCAGCACTAACTAGATGTGCTGGGGAAGAAAACTCTGGAGCTGAATGAGAGGCTGTGGATCCCATTCTTGCATGCCATCTGTTCTTAGAGCAGCATGGGACAGGACCATGGCCACAATATATGGGCAAAGGAAAAGCCAGTTCCCACTGGAAAGGGTCCCTGTCCTGGTCACAACACACCTGCCCCAGCTGCCAGTCTCAGGCAGACACTGCCTGGTGCTCCACAGAGCAAAGCCAGGCTCAAGTAGGCTGGCCCTAACAGACTGCACTGTTCTTTCTCTCTCTTCATGTGCAATTTAACCTTTCCAGCACTGGAGCTTTCCTGTGAGTCTCAGCCTGCCCGCTGCCCTAGGACCCACATCTCCCAGCCTTCAACTCCTGGCTGCCCTCTTCCAAAATCCTGTCTGTGAGGTTGAAAGGACAACACTCAGCTTTCCTCAGCGGAAAACTCGACAGCAGAGGCGAGAGCTGCAGGGTGAGTACAAGGTCAGGGTCCCTGGGTGAAAATGAGGGAGCTCTCCCTGCTGTGGCACCCACTGCAGTTTTGCTGGTGCAGGCATCCCTTCCTGATGGGTCCTGGTGCAAAGGGTGATACTACCAGAGATGAATCCTCACTCCTTTATCCATCACTGGCTGCTCTCAAACCAAGTCCCAAGCCCCAGAGAGCTGGGCCTCCCTCTGCAGCTGCCCTGGAGTTTTGGGATTATAGAATCAGCCTGAAAGATGCTGCATCCTGCCTGCTCCTCATGCACTGCAGAGGCAGCTGCATTCAGACCATGAATTTCCAGCACACTTCATTTTCATGCAAGCCCACATCCCCAGAAATTGCCAGCAGCTTTGGCGGAGATGCTGGCAGGGCTCCCGAGGTGAAGAGCTGATGCTGCACCAGGCACTGCTGCTCTCTCCAAGTGGTGCTGGGCTGGAGGCCACAGCTGCCCTGCATGGGGATGCCTCTCAGCTCCAGGGAGCCACTTTGTGCAGCCCTTCTCAGGAAGAGTCAGGCAAGGTCACCCTGACCTCCACATGCTCTCCCTTCCAACGCTGCATGCTGATAACCTGGGCTCTCCATATTGACTGTGCCCTGAAGGGGAAATAATCACCCATGTGCTGAAAGCTGGGCACACTTTGTCCCTGCTGCACCCTGAGCACTTCTAACTTCAGCCAAGGTCACAACAAAAGCAGGAGCTGGTTCTGTGTGTCCACACACAGAGCTGGGGTACAGGGACCTGTACCCAAGGGTGCACCATAAACCTGCACTGCTCAGAGGTACCCCTGTGAATCAGCCTGGAAATGCCATTGCCCACCAGCAGGAGGAGGAACAGAGGATTTGGAGGCTGCAGATGCTGCTCTTTGGGGAGGAGGCATCACTGCTGCCCTGCAGCAGGAGCAGAGTGAACCCTCCAGTCTGGAAACCACAAAGCACAAAGTGAAGGCCCCCAGGGCAGGCACAGCACAGACACAAGGCAGAGTCACCTCTGCTGCTGTCACTGCCCAGCAGCAGGGGCAGAGGAGACACCAATTCCAGCTCTTCTGCCTCATGCTTCCTGTCCCTGTGCATATGTTGTAAGACATATGTAGTTTCTGTGAGGTAAAAGCAAAATGCCAGCCATCCCCTGAGAGGATGCTGATCTAATCAGCAGAACGAAGCAGAGGTCTGGGGGAGAGGTTTGCAGGAGATCTGAGGTCTTGGTGTGACCACAGATTTCCTCTCTGCACCATGGGGGTGGGGACAGGAAATACCACCTCATACAGGACACCCAACCGAAGAGCTCCTGACCAAAAAACTCCCAGACCCACAGCAGGCAGAGGGGCCATGGGAGAAGCAGCACCCAGGAGCAGAGCACTGCCAGCTCCAGGACATCAACTTTTGTCAGGCAACAAATCTGACAGCTCAGCCCTGCTGCTGCTAGCTGGCCTGAGGGACAGGAAGAGCAGGCAGAGAAAGCCACAAAGCAGAGTGATATTGCTCAGAGGGGCGTTGGATGACAGGTCTTGGGGTGATGCGGGCCTGCTCAGCTCTGCCCAAGTGCCAGAACTCAGCATTTACTGGGGGATGCTGAGAGCATCCTCACAGCATCACATCGCAGTCCCTCCCTGGGTGCTGAGGGCAGCACCCCTTACGCTGGGGAGCAGGAGAGGGGGAAATGGACCCATCTGCACCTTGTAAAGTCACTGATCACCCTCTGTGTTCCCCTGCAGGTTCCTGCTCTGGCACATGGCATCACTCCATCCCCAAACTCTGCTGGAGAAGCCTCTGCTGCCCAGGTTCCTCCCAGGAGGGCGCTGGGTTAGAAGACCCCTCAGAGGAGCTGCAGAAGAACATCTGCCCATCCTGTGGGCAGTGACACTTTCAGCATGAAGAGATGCCTGGGGAGCTGGGTGAGGGAGCAGTGCACACCTTGGCAGGGCAGGGCTGGGAATGCCCTCTCCAGAGCCCTGGCAGTGGCTCAGGCTGCAGAGGAAGGGGCTGTTGAGGTCGTGGTGCCAGGCAGACCAGCTTAGGATGGAGAAAGACAACACAGGCACCACTCCCCTGGTGTCCTGGGGATGTACCCACCCCTCAGAGGGGCAGGGCCCTGGCAGATGGGGTGACACGGCAGGAGGCCTCGGCGTGGTGGATGCTGGCAGCCACGAGTGCTGGATGTCTGTGCACAGGACATCCCAGGCCCTCAGCATCCACCCTGGGGCAGGGCTGCTTCCCATCCCTGGGGCTGTTCTTACAGCACACCCCCTGTCCCAGCCCCACTGCCAGCCAAAGAGAAGCCCTGGAGCCTGCTGGGGAGGCACTGAGCAGCCAGGGCTTGCCCCAGGCTCTGCCCTCCTGAGAAGCTCAACATGAAGGCGCCCAAAAGAAAAGAATTTGCACAGACTTGGGGCAGAAATAATAAATGGTATAAAAAAAAAAATCTATTTAAGACAGAAAGAAAATGAGATGCTTGATTTCTGTGGGTGTACTTTGTCCTGGGAAGAGCCTCCCTGCCCTGCTCCATCCTGCTGTCCCATCCCCATCCCTCTGCTGGGACAGAGCCTGAACACACAGCACAAACACCCAAAACAGAGCCACAGCTGCCCTGGGCAAGGCTGGCACCCCCCAGAGCACATCTTACCCTGTGGGACCAACCAGATGAGATCCCTCCCTGGTCCCCGAGTTGATGGAGCAAGGACACTTTGCCTTCCCCAGGGGCAGGTTCAGAGCTCCCCCTGCTTGCTGTGGGCACGGAGCAGCCCCGAGCTCCGGCCACACCGAGGGTGTCACCCATTGGCACCAGCCACGGCAGGGCTGGGCTCCCCGACCCAGCACAGCACACCCCAATTGTCACTATAGGACACTCAAGGTGAAGAAAAGGGAAAGTTTATTTTCTCACTCCAACATTTATAGTTTGTCAAAAGTGACAGTGGATTAGAGGGTGAAAGTGCCACCTCTTCAATGACACTGGGCAAACCAACCAACAGTCCATCAAATTTCTCCTCCTCCATAAAAGAACGCAAAACAATGAGTTATTTACAGAAGGTGTGTGAGAAAATTTGCTACAAGAATGTAAACATCAGAAGGCTCAGAAAACCTTAAAAAATGAGGGTGCCACCCAATCACTCCCCCAACTCCTCAACACCCCCTGAGCCACCCCAGCACTGGGTGTCACCATTTGCCACTGGTACCTCCATGGGTGTCACCCTCCACCACTCATTAGGAGTTACAGAGAGCAATTGGCTCCCAAAGAGCAAGGAAAGCTGAGAGGAGGGAGCATTGCAGCCCCCCCAGCACAGCCAGATCCCACCAAACATCAGCAGGCAAGGAAACCTCCCCAGCACAGCGATGCCCTGCCAGGCAGGGTCCCCTCATGGTTCTCCCTCCTGTGGCCTTGGGGTGAGGAGCAATGCAACTCCTGGGCTGAGCCCCCAGAGCAGATGGAGAAATTGCCTGATCAGCAGCTCTGCAGAGCAGCAGGAGCCGGGTCCCTGCACAGGGGGAGCTTTTCCCTTTTCCTCCCCAAACAAACCCAGCAGGAGCAGCCCAGGAGCATCCACGCCGTGCTCCAGCTCCGGGAGGAACTGGCAAACACACACCCAAACCCCTGCCACCTATGATAACAATTAGAGGCTTATCTAATTGCAAAAATAATTGCAATTGAAGTGTTTAATTACCATACTAAGCAGGAAGAGCCGTTTCCTACTGTTCCAGTAGCACTCCCGATCCATCAAACAAGGTTTGGGGCTTGTTTGGGTGCTGGGCTTTTTGGGTTTTTTTTTTTGGTTTTCTTTTTTTGATTATTAGATTGCAGCCCCAGGGGATGAAGAGATTTGCTAATTAGGGTCTTGGAGAACAGCTACCAATTCACAAACACTTGCTTTTAATTTCAATACTAACGAGGCTGGAAGGGGGAGAAAGCCAAAATGCAGAACATCTGTGGCAGGGCTGGCTGCAGCAGGGCTGACACTGCTCAGGGACCATCCCAGAGACCCCGGGAATGGGCTGGGGTCGGTGCAAGCCCAGGCAGGTGGGAGCAGCTGCTCTGGGTCGCTGCTGTCACCGCAGCCACCACACAAACCCATCCCAGCATCGATCATCTGTCTAATCCCCCCAGGGACCATCGGCTTTCTCAGTGATGGGCTAATCCTGGTCCTCAGGCAGCCGTTCCATCCCCCGGGGGTGCAGCAGCAAGAATTTCTCCAGGTGACATTTGGTTTTGTTCTCCTCTAAACTGACAACAAAAGGGAACTTAATTCTCTCGCCAAGCAGCAATTCTGAGAGGGAAGAGAAACTGCTTAGGAAGCTCCTAACCAACATCTGCTCTCACAGATAGGAAATATCCCCTGCTAGCGTTGGGAGCACAGGCAGGGCTGGCTGCCAAGTGTATAGGGACATCCCCATCCCCCTGTCCCTGCAGGAGCTCCACTGCCCCAAATGTGGCACCAAATCCTCACCTTGCTCCAGCAGCCACCCCAGGGACCCACAGAGCCTGCCTGGGCTTCTTCCACCAAACCTTTGCTGTCCTTGGCACAGCTCTGGGGAGGGTCCAAAAACCTGCAAAGAGGAGAAACAGGGAGGGAGAGAAGCACAGGGGAGGCAGGAGCAGCTGCAGGGCATCCAAGCATCCCGTCCCCCAGGAGCACAGCTGAGATGTGGTGGTTGCCACAGGCCAGAGGCAAAGGAGCGTTTTATTTCTTTTAGATAAAAGAGAAACATCAGTAGAATGAGAAAAAAAACTGTGTTGGGGTTGTTTTTTTCAGGCTGTCATGTGATTAAACACAGAGGGAACAGAAAGGTAGAGAACAGCCCCGAGCAGTGGAAAATGAGGAACTTCGTGTTAGAAATCTCAAGATTGGATTTTCTGGAATAAAATACATTTTGGGGTCACTCACCCAACAGTTTTGGCTGGGGAATCATGCCTCTGGAAAGGTTATGGGACCCATTTCCTCCCCACTAATCTAAAAATCACATTTCCATGATGAAGCACCTTGAAAGCAAGGACAAGCACTCCCTTCCAGCCTGGAGGAGGTGACCATGGGGAAGGCAGCATCAGGTGCCTCCCTGGCCTCAGCTAAACCCTTCCTGCCCAGCATTTCCCCACCTCCAAGGGCACAAAGGCTGGCAGTGCCAGAGGCTCAGGCAGATCCCAGCCCTCGCAGGGTGGTGGCCCCGGGACCAGGAGCATGGTGGCCAAGGGACCAGAGAGAGAGGACAGAGCCACTAGAGGGCACAAGTATGACAGAAACACATCGGGGGACCTCCAGCTTCTGCGGTTCCACAGTCCCAGAGGTCCCCAAATCCCCTCATCACCCTCACTTCCCAAAAGGGCACCCCCAGCTCTCCCCCAGCAGGAACAAACCTTCTCCTGGAGGCCCAGGACTGCACCAGGCAGCAGGCCGTGGAGATTTGGGGGCCCCTGTGAGGTGCAGGTCCTGCAAGGATGTTATCTTATATATCAATAGTCCCATATCATTGTAGTGCAAGGATTCCATATCACCAGAGATTCATACCTCCTCAATGCTTCCCATAGGCAGCTCCAGACTCTTCCTGGTCCTTGCAGCAGTCACCTGACTCCAGATGACACCAATCCACTCTTTTATACCACTGTTCTTATTGGCTACAGGTGTGGCTTGTTAAGATCAGGCCTGCTCCTAATCTTTAGTAATTGGTCCAGCTGCAACTCATTGGGGGATAAGATTACATTCTCCACCACCTTCATTTACCCATCCTGTATCCCCCTACACAAGGAGACATCTGGTCATCGCCAAGGCACGTGTCCAACGTCCTTCTGTCCTTCTGTCCTTCTGTCCTTCCCTTCTCCTTCCTCCCCAGAGCCTCCTTCAGGCAGGCGCTCCCCTCCCCGCTCCTGCAGCCATCACCACTTCTATTGAGGCTCTCCCACCAAACCAAACACATTTGTCAGGGAAACAGCTGCCAGAGGCTGCTCTGCTGGAACAGGTGTTCCCGTGTCCCCCAGCAAACAGACATTGTCACCATTGTTACACCCTCCTTCCCGTGTGGCACACAGCTTCACCCATGTGTGTGCATACTCTGTGTGGGTTAGCTGTCCTTGGTGCAGGATCGGGGTCACAGAGCCCTGTGTCCAAGGTTAGCTGTCCTTGGAGCTGTCCTCAGTGCAGGATGGGGGTCACAGAGCCCTGTGTCCAAGGTTAGCTGTCCTCAGTGCAGGATGGGGGTCACAGAGCCCTGTTCCCAAGGTTAGCTGTCCTTGGAGCTGTCCTCAGTGCAGGATGGGGATCACAGAGCCCTGTTTCCAAGGTTAGCTGTCCTTGGTGCAGGATGGGGGTCACAGAGCCCTGTTCCCAGAGCTGTATTCCTGTTCCCAACCCCATGAGCATCCTGGAACTTCTGTGCAAGTGTCAGAGCCGCTCTCAGCCTTGTCCCTCCACCCAACCTGGGCGTAGCTGGCAGGTGCTGTCACCCCGGGGTGTTTGCACAGCTGTCAGGGATGCATCTGCTCTCCTTGCTCACCGTTCCCATCCCACGGGCAGCACTGATCCCCTCCCTGCCGGCAGGAACCCGGAGCTGCTGCAGGCAGAGGCAGCAGCGCCCTCCGACCCCGGGCACACAGGGACTGGTGGTGATTAAACACAGTCCCGGTGCTGATAATTAATTTCTTAGAGGATGAATTACTTGGGAAAGCTCCAGAATGAATGTTGTTCTTCCTGCCACAAAGCTGCTAGGTCTGTTCAGGCTTTTAAAACAATCTAAAAGCAAAGGGGAAGAACATCCCCTGATGAAGAACTGCCATGCCCTGGGCAAGGGGGACTGCTGGGTTTGGGGTCTCTGCTGGGGCTGTTCTTTGGATCCACGAGCAGGCAGGGCAGGAGGATGCGCTGGCACTGCCCATGTCCCAGCAGTCAGGAGACCCTCAGGACAGGCTGTGGGCATCGGCCAAACGCCCTCCAGCAGCTCCTTAGACCCATCTCAGTCAACACCTTGGGCCGAGGCATCCCCATCTCCCCATGAGACCTGCCCAGGGAACCACAGGATCTGTGTGGGGAACACCCAGCTGCCCTCTCCCGGGCACTGTCTGCCACCCTCAGGGGTGGACGTGGCTGTCCCCGTGTCTCTCTGCCCAGTGTGGCTGTCCCCGTGTCCCTCTGCCCAGCCCAGCCACTGCAGGAGCGAGCAGCCCTGCAGACAGTTCTGCTATGCACGGCTCTCCATCCCTTTTGCTTAATAGGAAGCATTTTTCTGTTTCATTTCCCTTACCCTTGGAGCTGAAACCGCCTTTCTGCAGCAAAACACACCAAGCCAAGGAAATTCTTCTCCCTTTGCAGCTCACAAACTCCCCTCCCTCCTCCTCCAGCAGGAATGGCCACCCCACAGTCCCCACCTTGCCTGGGGTATTTTGTACTGCTGGAGGGACAAATGATCCCCACCCCTGTCCTCCCATGGCACCTTGGAGACGGCAGGGACAGAGGATACTGAGGGGGCTGCAGGATTCTGTTCTCTCCATGTACAGATCTTGCAAATATTCCCAAACACGGCAGAAGGCAAAGCCTGCCCTCGCCTCACCTCCTCTGGCCCTCCCCGAGGGCAGTTCACTCGCTTGGCCTGCTTCAGGGCTGAGCTAAGGCCACCACCATTCGTTATTGGGTAATTAAGCTCTTAATTAACAGGCTGATTTCCCCTCAGAGCCCTGCCAGCAACTCTTAGTCCCTCTGTCAGCTGCCTCCAGCAGGGCAGACCCTGCAGGGCCTGGGGAGTGCTCCCATCCCAGGGATGGCTCTGGGCAGGACCTGCAGGGCCTGGGGAGTGCTCCCATCCCAGGGATGGCTCCAGCAGGGCCTGGGGAGTGCTCCCATCCCAGGGATGGCTCCAGCAGGGCCTGGGGAGTGCTCCCATCCCAGGGATGGCTCCAGCAGGGCCTGGGGAGTGCTCCCATCCCAGGGATGGCTCCGGGCAGGGCCTGGGGAGTGCTCCCATCCCAGGGATGGCTCTGGGCAGGACCTGCAGGGCCTGGGGAGTGCTCCTGTCCCAGGGATGGCTCCAGCAGGGCCTGGGGAGTGTTCCTGTCCTAGGATGGCTCTGGGCAGGACCTGCAGGGCCTGGGGAGTGCTCCCATCCCAGGGATGGTTCCAGCAGGGCCTGGGGAGTGCTCCCATCCCAGGGATGGCTCTGGGCAGGGCCTGCAGGGCCTGGGGAGTGCTCCCATCCCAGGGATGGCTCCAGCAGGGCCTGGGGAGTGCTCCCATCCCAAGGATGGCTTCGGGCAGGACCTGCAGGGCCTGGGGAGTGCTTCCAACCCAGGGATGGCTCAGGGCTGTTTTTCCTTCCTCCCCCATGATCTGTTCCTGCCAGCCTGGCACTAGGGCACCGTGACCCAGCCTGAAGGCGTGAGCCTGCTCCAAAAATGTGCCTGCAGCACAAGTGAGCCTGACACATGTCTGGGCTCGGAGTGACACCAAGGAGTCAGGGGCAAACGGGTGAGACACTGCCAGCGTGAGTGATGCTTAAACCTAAAACTCCAAGACTACAGAACCTCCCAGCTTATAAGCCTTAAGGAAAAAATAAATACACTATTCGAGACATTCCTGCCTAAAGAAAAAATCTCTCAGCAACCTTTGCCGCCAGCACATCCCCTCTGTGTGCTCCTCCCTCCTTCGGGACCGAGCTGGGTCAGGAGGCAGCAGTGCCATGCCCCAACCCCGAGCTGGCTGGACCACAGGGGATACAATGGAGACCCTGCCCCGGGCTGCCCAGCAAACCTCAGAGAACCGCAGCAAACCAGCCATGATGAGCCGCCGTGCTCGGTGAGACGCAGGAGCTGCCCTGCAGCGCTCCGGCTCTGGGTATTCATCACTTGTCAGCTCCCCTTAGCCGTGAAAGGAGAGTTATCCTCCCCCCGGGCCTGAGCCGTCCCGGTCCCGGCAGGGCTGCGGACACGGGGGCTGACACCGAGCCGTCCCCATCCCGCTGCCAGCCGGGGTGTCTGGGTGGGAGGAGAGACCCGGGTTTGGCTAATCCAAGTGGAAACTAATTGTGTTTCATTGAGGTTTTATCTCTGCAACTGGCAACATGCTCCTGCAGGAGATTTAGTGTGAAGTTGTCTGGTCCCTGCCAAGAAGGCTGGTTTGTTGTTTTTTTTTTATAGAGAAAGCACATTATGCATCAAAGTTGAAATTCAAATCCCTTTTCCTTCATTCCCAGGGTATATTTATGACGTTCCAGATATTCCTTGGTGCATCACGGTTTGTGGGGAGCCCCCAGTCACTGCAGAAGCCCGGGACCAGCTCAAAGAGCTGCCTGAACTTCTCCTGCTTTATGGTTTTTCCCTTTGCTTTTAGTTGTTGCTGTGTGAGTGGGGGACTGGGGGCAGGCAGGGATGAAGCTGATGCACATGAATGGCTCCAGGTGAGCTCCCCCCAGCCCTCCCAGGGCTTCCCAACCCAGGGTTGCTCCTCTCCTGCTGTAATTTCCACAGCCTCGAGCCCCCCATGTGCAGTCTGGTGCCTGCAGCCTCATCCTGGCAGCAAATTGAGTGTTTTTCCCCAGAGATGCTGCACTTCTCCCTCCGTGGGGGTTGAGCAGGTTCTGCTGAGTGCAGCCATGCCAGGAGGTGAATCAGCCCAGCCTGGAGCTGCACCAGGAACGGGGAGGAAAGAGGGGGGCACAGGGAGTTCTGTGAGTGCACAGTGGGAAGCACAGGACTGCAGCCCTCTCATCCAGACCCTCTGGGGTGTAAACCCACCTGGTTTGCTGCAGCTGGCAGGGAGGGTGGGTGGCTGGGGGCTCCTTCTCCCCACCCAGCAGCTCCTCTCAAGGCGTCAGGACAGGCCCAGCATCTGCAGTCACTGGAAAATCACGCTCCATTTCCAGAAAGGAAAGCAAAGTGTAAATCTCCCTCTCAGACGCACATTTGTTCCTCTGCAGCAAGAAAAGTGGTGAAAGCTTTAATTTCCGAGCTGGGAGGGAGAGACAAATACATCAGCAGCACCCCGGGTGCAGAGGGAAAAAAACATCAATTCTGGGATTACACCGAGATCTCCCCCTCCCTGCTGTAATCCAGAATCACCACAGGTTTCTCTGCTGGCCCTGCAGCTCCTGCCTCTCACTGTGTTTGGGGGAAATGTGGGTACCTGAGGGTGGGCATTGCACCAGTGTTTGCCCACAGTGCTGGGCTGGGGGCAGGCAGGGATTCCCCTGGCTGCATTTCTCATTCAGAGCAGGCTGGACGTAGTGCTCGGCTCTCCCCAGAGATTCCCTTCATAAGAGGGAGCAAATTCCACTTATCTATCCAGGGGAAATTTGCATTTTAAATATCCCAACTCCAAATGTCACCCAGTTTGATCCCCTAAGCTGAACAAAGGCAGTGGAGCAGGGAGGGGGCCAGGGTGGCTCACCAGTGCAAACAGGCAGGAAGAAAGGAAATAAAAAACAAGGTTAAAAGCATGCACAGATGTTTAATCTGTGCTGAGGGTGAGGATGGGAGCAAACATGGCAGAGACCTTCTCCCTCTTCCAGCCTCCATCGGGCAGGACACGGGGGAACAAGTATCCGAGGCTCCAACCATTAAGGATTAGGGATTTCGTGTTGGAGATTTTGTTTACACAATAAGACTTAAGACTGCATGGAGTGTAGGTGGATTCTCCCCAGTGCCTGCAGAAGGATTAGTGCCTATAAAGCAGCCAGAACGAGCTAAAAATTGGAGAGATCAAAGTGCAGGAAGAGGAATCACGTTCTCAGGGATGGGAGGAGAGGGGAGCAAGAGGGCAATGGTCAGGCCTGAGACGATTGCAGCTGCTGGCCCTGGAGAGCGTGGGGAAGGCCTGGAGCATCCTCCCACTGCAGCTGCAGCGATGACAGAAGGGATCTCAGGGAGCAGCTGGACCCCAGGTGTTTTCCATCCTCTCCTGAGGCTGCCAAATCTCCCTGACCAGCTCCAGATTGCAGGAGAGGGACGACCCCAGCCCTTCCTGAGCTCTCTGCCGCCCCAGGACCATCTCTGGGGAGCAGAGCAGAGGAGGGGTGTCCAGCCTGAACCCCTCTGCAGTGCTGGGGCACAGGGGGAAGCTCCGCTGCAGGGAGGAGAGCCTGATCCTGATGTTCCTACCAGTCCCCCGTGACCAAGGTGACACTGCCACGAGCCAGCCCATGCCACACGAGGAGGGGACACACTCAGCAGGGCCTGAGGAGGCTCTGCCAAGCCCTGGACCTGCAGTGCCCAGCCTGCTCTCCCTGCCTGGCTGAGCAAATGAGCCTTCTCCTCTTCACCTCATTAAAGCCATGAGCTGATTCGATTAAATCAGGGCACCAGCCCTGGTCCCCAGAAGGCAAATGGGATGGATGTTTAAGGCATGAAGTTTTCTGGCCCCAGCACCTCATTACTCGTCCAACCCCCAGTGCACAGGGCATTGCCTCCTCCCAGCTCCCTGCCTGCTCTGCACCTGGGGACAGATACACTCACCTGGGGCAGGAGCAGTGCCAGCCCTGCACTACTCTTGGCCCAGGGACCCCAGCCCAGTGGGGCCACACGCATGGAAAAGCAGCCCAGGCACAGCAGGCTTAGAGTCACCTCCAGTGCTGGCACTTGGGGGTGCCTCTGGCTGCAGCAGCCCATGGCTGTGGGGCTCACAGGTGTACAGGCATCCCCTTTTCCTCCTTGGCATCTGCAGTGCCTGAGTTTGCTCCATCACTCTGGTGTTTGGGAGGCACAGGCTCCCCTGCACAGCCTCCCTGCCTCCCGAGCCTCTCCCGCACTCAGGCACAGGACCCAAGTTTTATCCTCACCCCCGTCTCCCAACCTGCAGGCAGGCAGGCACTCCTTTGCCAGAAATGAGTCTGAAACGGTCCAGAGAGCTAATTCCCTCCCTCCTTAATGCATGGAAGCTTCTTACACTAAATCTATACAGACACAATTAGCATTATTCATATTCCATATGCTCCACTCCCTTGTGATGAATATTAATCTCCTTCCCGCTCCCAGGCATCAGAGATAACAGCATTGCTGCAGTGGCACAGAGGGTCTGAGGCAGTGATGCTGCAGGTGCAGACAGCCTCATCCCCATGTCGGGAAGGGCAGATTTTGTGTCCTCTTGGAGCTGGTTTTACAGCTGCAGGGCAGGGCTGGGCTGATCAGGGCTGTCCTTTCTGCTCCCGCTCTGATCTGGTCTCCACCGGGGCTGCTTCAGTCCCCCCAGGGCTCGTGGTTGTGTTGGACATCATGAAGCCCCAAACCTCCCTGCACCTTGCAGCTGTCCACAGGTTTTGGAGGTGGAGTAGGGCTCAGTCAGACTGTCCTGCTTCTGCCAGCTCACATTTCACAGCATTTCTTAGGCTGAGAAGTGGTCAGGGGCATTGCAGGAGCTGAACTGACGCCTCTTGGTGCTGCCCGGGGCAGGAGCAGCTTTGCCGGCATCCCAGAGCATCCCAGAGCATCCCGGCTGCTGGGACTTCATCCCTGGAGTCAGCACAGCTGGGGCACTGTCCCAGGGCTGCTCCCAGCTTCCTGCCCGGCATCTCGCCCCAAACGGGGCACGGCAGCACCGCCGGGGCTGCGAGAGGAGCACAAGGAGGAAGCGATGCAGGCGATGCAGCTCATGCACCGCCGCTATCACACGGGGACGGGTGGCATTCGCAGGTCAAGGAGGGGCCACCCCGCACGCAGGCAGGGCTGCCCGGACCCTACACAACCCCGTGTCCGTCTGTCCGGCCGTGCCTGCCCTCCGCACGTGGCTCCAGGCCAGGCCGGGGGTGCTGCGGATGGAAACGCCATTCGTGTGGTGGGGGTGGAAGGGATGCAGGCCAGGAGGCTCCGTCTCCACACACCCATTTGCATGCCTAATCCGCCGCCGGGGAGGGGAGCGCCAGGTCCCCCATCTGCTCCGCAGCTCACATCATTAGCTGGCTGGTTTCCGAGCAGAGGTGGGAGTGGAGCAGAGAGGGGAGAAGGGAGGCTGCTCCCATCCCCACGCACCATCACATGTCGGCAGGACGGGGAGCTTGGGAGGATCCTGCCCCTTGCCGGAGCTGGTGGGCAGCACACAGGGGACAGAGAGGGGCGTGGGTGGAAGAGAGGGTCCATTCCTATGGATTCCTGGGATGCTGCTGTGCTCCAGCTTCCTCCTGGGCACTGTGAGAGGCACAGGGCATCTCCTCACCCATCACAGGTGCTGCCCACGCTTTAACTTTGCCCCGGGCAGCAAAAGTCCCCATAGGCTGTTCCTTGCTGCAGGCAAGCCAGGGAGCACCCAGAGCCAGCAGCCCACTCACGGAGCTCAGCTCCACCTCGGATCCAGCCACATCAACCATCCCCACTGCCACCAACGCGCTGTGACGGCCCTGGGACACAGCCCCTTTAAATCCCCACACTCACAGCCTGGGCTGGGACACTGTAAAGGGAAAAATAAGGCAAAGAAATTATTTTCTTCTCGCCAGCAAGGCTGGATTGCTGCCCGTTCCTCGGCTGCGCTGCCAGCCCGCCCACGCACGGCACAGCGAGCGCTGCAGAGGCCAGCGGGGGCTGGGGGTGCCAGGGGGGTCGGGGGGCAGCCAGGGACCCCTCCCCATGCTGGACACCTCTGCTCACTGGGATGGCACGGGGGGAGAGGTCCCACCCGGCCCTTGGCTCCCTGGGATGCACAGAACATCCTTCTGCTCCATTCTCTGCCCCTTTCTCTGGGGCTGTTCCCGTCTCCAAGCTCTAAAAGGGCTCAAAATCCCTGCTGAACTGAGGTTGGGGCCACAGTGCTGGGTAAATGGGGGTTTCTCAGCAAGCAGCAATGAAAAGGTGGTCAGAGGGATGAAGGGGATGGGGGACAAGGGGAGCAGGGAGAAAAGAAGCCCACATTCCCCCAGGGTTACTCCCCACCTCTGCTTTCACGCCTGGCTGGGTTCCTTCATTACTTACCCAAGCTGTAAATTGTCTCATTTGGAGCACACCATTTATCCCTGATGTGCACTTGAGCAGCCAGATTTTGTTTTCAGGTGTGTAATTAATTTTTTTTAACGTGATTTCTCTCCTAGGAAACTGCAAACAAACAGTTCTGGCTTTCATGGCTGGGCAGCTCGGGTGAGCGTCAGGGCAGGGATTAGGCAGACAAGGACCCGAGGCCGGATCTCAGAGGATGTGAGGAGCTGGGGTTTTGCAGAAACCTCTTGCTCCTACTTTCCAAATCCTTCATCCTTCAGTGCAACCTCTGCCTCCTTCAGCACCACCACACTCCCCATGGGCACTGGAGAAGGCTTGAAAGGGGAAGCAACAGCCACCTTCCCTGTTCCCAACTCAATCGGCTGGGAATTACCATTTTTATTAAGACCTAACATGTCCTTGGCTGCTGGGGATGTGATTTGCTCCTGGAATGAGATTACAGCAGCTCCTGAGGATCCCATATCAGCATCCACCTCACTGTGATGATGCTCCCACCCCCAGACAGAGGTGTCTCCATCAGTGGATGCTCACAGGCATCTCCACCAGCAGGAGAGGTCGTGCTCAGGCACAGTACAGGGGGATCCATGGGGATCCCCTATCCTGAACTCTTTGCCCTTCTTCTCATCATCCCTGGGATGTTTGCTGTCTGGGAGTGATGCCGGCTATTTTTGCATCACCCCTCACCTCTCACAGGGCAGGCACAAGGCAGGATGGAGCAGAAGCAGAGCCGAGGGTGGGTAATGTCTGTCCCCTCTGCACGTCCCAGAGCCCCGCTGAGGGTGGGCCGGGGTCACAGGGGCTCCCTGAGCTGCTCTGCATCCCGAGGCAGAGCGATCTCCTCCGATGGAGAATCACCTGCTGTGAATGCGAGAGAGAAACCTCTGCGACGCTCCTGCTGCCAGGGAAGTTGTTAGATGAGTTTTGCCGGCGGTTTTCCAGATGAAAGGAGGTGAAAATCACCTCCATTAGTTGGCAGAGGCAGGTGGGAGGATGTGTGGAGAGCGGGCTGACTGTGCAGGTCCCAACCCTCTGCCCTGCCAGGCCCCCGGGCATGGGGTGCCAGTCTGGGGGCACAGGATTTGCTCTTGTGCCACCCCAACAAGGGCACCTGGGATGGTGCTGAGGCTGAGGGAGTTTTGGGGTGGCTGGGGGGAGCAGCCGTGAGGGACAACTCCAGCTGGTGACACCCCTGGGACAGGTCCCGTGCATTCCTCTGCTTCTGCCCCACCAGCACTGCCCCACCAGTGGCAGCAAAATAAATCCACAGCCCCCTCAGAATGGCCCTCCAGGAGTGGATTTTGGCCACCACAAAACAGGCTGTGACCTCTTGAGGGGGGATTCCACCAGCCAGACCTCCAGAACCACGGGCCAGACTTCCTGGGGTTTTTTCCCTATGAGTTTGATGATCTGTTGTGACTTTTGGGAGGAGACAGTGCAGTCTCCAGGGGCCACAGGAGGGGGCTGAGTGCTCTGCTCCCCCATCCTGCTCCCCTTTGTTCTTTGAAGCTGCTTTCCAAGGAGCTGCTTAGCATTCGGAGCAGGCGCCCGCACCGATTCAGGGCAAAAACTCTGGTTTGCCTTCAAAAACACATCAATCTTCTGCAGCCTGCCATGAAGGGCAGCTCCTGCCCTCCAAAATAGGACAGAGGGCACATGCAGGCTGCCTTGCCTTTCCCAAATGTGTGTGGTGTAAAATGTGCATGCTCCATCCTATAGCCCCTCACCCATCACCGCCCAGCTCTGCAAGCCCCTGCCTTCAAAGGAAAAGGCATCAAAACCCCAATCTCTTCCATCTCCTTTTGGTCTTTTTTTTTCCCCTTCTCCACTGAGGGAGTTCAGCTCCCAGATACTGCACACACAGACACTGAGAAGAAAATTTCCAGGAATTGCTGCTCTCTCTGGGAAATTCATCACAGGGATCCAGGCAGCTCGGTTGATGCCAGGCACTCCCTGCCCAGTGTTTGGGGCTGTGGGCAGGCTGTATCTGTGTCTGTGACGAGCTGTACCCCAGCATTCACCAGAAACCAGCACTTTTCCCACCAAGGTTTGGTGCCACATGAGGGATGCAAGCTCATCTTCCTCAGGAGAGTGGCTGATTTATCTGCATTCCCTTTGCTGATGGAGGCCTGGCTGTGGGCTCACCAGGCGGAGGAGGCAATACTGAAATAGCTTCTTTTCTTACACTTCACGTGGGGATTATTATTATTATGCCTCTCATGAGTCCCCCCTCTGCTGCCAGCACAGGAAAAACCCCCGTGGTGCCACCATCAGCAGCCCTGCCACCAGGCAGGATGGGGCCGAGTCCCCTGGCACTGCAGCCCGGCCCCTGGCACCATGGCCTTCCCTCTTCCACCCACACACGGTGGGAACATCCTCCCAGGCACCTGCAGTGGCACAGGCAGAGCTTGGAGCTGAGCATCTCCTCCTGCACTGCACCTGTGCAGCACTGCTGGCTGCCATGGGGGGTGAAACGTGTCCCTGCAGGGGGAAAATTCCCTGCACAACACAAACCCTCGGACCTTTGCTCCGAAATGTTTGTTCATGACTAATCACAGTCATCCCAGTGCCAGCTGGGGACCAGCACCCCCTGTCCCTGTGGCCTTGGCAGCTAGCAGCTCACCAGTGCCTGGTGGCAAAGCCCCAGACTGTGACAGCACCGCAGCTCTCGGGGACTTTCACCCTAAGGATGCAAAGGAGGAGTGGGTCCAGCTCCAGCCCACCCATGGCCATCTCCCCTGGCAGCTCTGGGCTGGTGGCAGGGCTGGTGGCTCCCATTAGTGAGGTGAAAAACGAGTATTGATCATTGCTGTGAGTCCAGCACGAGGCACGCACAGCCCACGGCCGGATCGATGGAGCCGGGGAGGCTTCTGCTCTCCTTGAGGTTTCTGTGTCCGTCTGGGGCTCCAGGAGGAAGCCTGAGCTGTGCCAGCATCCAGCACAGCCCCTGCACAGCTCCATCCTCACAGTGCAGCCTCTGTCCAGCTCTCCAAGATGATATTTCCACCCGGAGGAAGCTCCGGGGTAGGGATGCTCACACGTGCATGGCAGGGGTGAGAAGGCAAAGCAGCCATCCCACAGCTGCAGCCTCTCCATCCCTCAGTTCCCACGCCGGTGGCATGGAGACAGCCCCAAGGATTGTCTGCCTGGCAGGGCTTCCTCTCGTGGGCTCCCATCTCGGCCGGGATGCTCTGTGCACACAGGTTCCCTTCAGAGTTACCTTCCTGTCCTGCTCCACATCCCCAGGGCTGACTGTCCTGGTGTTCCATGGGGTGCCCAGCCTTGGTGCAACTGGAGAAAAGGGCTGAAAATTTGGGATTTCCGTCCCTCCGGAGGAGGATGTCGGCAGAGGATGAAGGCAGAACTACACTTCCCAGAGTGCTCCTGGCACTGCCGGGGGAAAGGCTGAGGGACCCAGACACCAGCTCCTCCCTGCTCCTATATTATTCTCCTTCTTGTTTATTTGTGGGTTTTCTGCACTTAACTGTCTGCCTCATCCACTTAATTGGGGGATTATTGCCGCTACCTGCCCGCCCGCCAGAGCCCAACTCATTACTGGGGTTTATTTATTAGCAGCGAGGCTGCAGAAGCGCGCCCTGCAGCTCCCTCCTCTGCTCCTCGGGCACAGGCGGCTGGAGGCCATGCAGGAAAGCGAGCAGGAGCCAGTTTGGCCAGGAGCAGGTCAAAGCCAGCCTCTGCCATGCACGGAGGCAGGGCAGCATCCTCCTGCAGCGCCTGGCATCTTGGCAAAGCGCAGGAGGAGAACCAAAAGCCTGGCTGCTTTTTAAAGTGCTCCCTGGGCTCGGGAAAGGCCAGCACAGCACTGTCCTTCTGCTCACAGCACGGCACCCCTGTCCTCGGCACGCTGGCAGCTGGTGACAGCCGTGTGGCAGGGAGGAGAAGGGACCACTGCCCTCCGAGCCCAGGAGGAGCCGGCAGTGAGCGCCCCACGGCTCCTCTCCAAACCCTGCTCCCGTTTCCAGCCGGGAGAATCTGGGGGAAATGTGGGACAGCAGGAGAGAGCTGCATATTGAGCGCTTTGATAAATAAAACATGTGCAGAAGGCAATCAGAGCTGCCCACTTGGCTGCAGCAGCAGCAGCAGCTCCGTCTGCGGCGGCTGCACGGGGGGAATTCACAAATTCACAAGCGGTGCCGCCCCGGCCGCCAGCCCCGGCGCTGCTCCTCCGCTCGCATCCAAGTTTTGCAGCCTCAGCACCGAGGGGGATTGATTTATTCATCAGCCTCTCTCTCCATCCCGCAGCAGCCCTGCAGGAAGGAGTGGTGCAGTGGCTGCTGCGCGATGTGACGAGCGGCACGGCGGGAGCAGGGAGGGACAGCCGGAGGTGGCTCCCGGGTGACCCGCGTCTGACCCTGCGGTGATGCCTGGGGGAGGAGGAGGGATTCCCCAGGGTGGGAAATGGGAGCAGCAAACTCCCCTGGGGCCGTGGTGCTGGGAGCTCCTCGGGCATTAAGGCACAGCTGTCTTGCACCCCCTTTTCAGGAGGGAGAGACAGGACCCCCCTGTTCAGAGGGTGATCAGAGATCACAATGGCCAAACAGATTGCAGAGACAAGTTGCAATGCAAGGAGCCCACCAAGCATCTCCAGGGCTTGGTGGGAGCTGTTCTGGGCATCCACAAACCCAAAACAAAATCTAGGGAGAAGAGGGCCTCAGCTGCCTGCCAGGAACACAAGGGAGCAGCCTGTGGGCAGGGACTGGGCAGGGGAAGGATGAGCTCCAGCCCCTCAGGCCAGTGGGGATCTTGCAGTCTTCTTGGCCATGCTCTGCACCAATCCCTGAACCAGAGTTTTGGCTTCTTAAAGCCCCTGTGGACAAGTTCTTGCTCTTCTCACACCCCTCCTTCTGCTGTTCCCCACCCCATGAGCAGCACGTGGCCAGCCTGGCCATGTCCCCATCCCGGAGCTCTGCAGCTCCCACAGCAGCCCCTGCTCCAGCCCCTCCACCTCCTCTGCTCCCCCCTGGCTTTTCTGTGAGCCCTGCAGGCTCCAGCAAGTTCATGGCTCTTCATCACCCCCATCCTCAGGACACCCTGTGAGAGAACCTGGGCAAGGGCTTTGTGCAGCAGGGATCTCTGATCTGGGGAGCACCTGAGACACCCAGGGGTGCCCTGTGTAGAGACCCCTCCTCTGGGGGGCTTGGCAGTGCCACGGGAGAGGCATCACCAAATCAGGGAGGCAGAGAAGCACCGGGGCCTGTGGGGAGGCAGCAAATATTAGAAGGAATGGCTGGATGGGGAGGAACTGGCAGGGCCAGGGGGTCCAGAGGGATGGCTGGGAAGTGGGGGGAATTGTTGGGTACTGGAGAAACGGGTGGCCAAGCAATGGCGTACGGGGAGACACGGCCACGCACTGGGGGTGGCTGTCATGGCACCGGAGGCACAGGCGGTACCGGGAGGGACGCTCCGTACCGGGGGTGATGCGGGGTGAGGGGAGCACAGCCGGGCCGCAGGGGCGGATGGTTGAACAGCGGGGTGAGGGCATCTCGGTACCGGAGGAGCAATTACCGGTACCGGAGGGAACGCGGCCGCTAGCGGGGCGGAAGGCCGGGCCGGGGGCTGCCGCCCGGGGCGCGGGGCGGTCCGGAGGCGGGCACGGAGGCGGCCCCGCCCGGGAGGCCGTGCGGCGGAGGGGGAGCCAGCACCGGGCCCCCCCTGTACCGCTACGGCTCCCGCCTCCCTTCCGGCGGCGGCTCCTTCTCCGCGCCGGGGGCGGACGGGGCGCACCGGAGCCGCGCCGAGCCAGCCAGGTGGGTGCGGGACCGGGCCGGGCCGGGCCGTGCCGTGCCGCAGAGCCCGGGGGGGGCGGCGATCGGCCCGCCGAGCCTCCCGGGGCCGCCGGCTTATATAACGGGGCGGCGGCCGCGGAGCGGCGGGATGCGGCATGCGGGGCGGGATGCGGGGAGGATGCGGGGAGGATGCAGGTGATGCGGGGAGCCCGGCAGGTGATGCGGGGTGCGGGGAGCCCGGCAGTGATGCGGGTGCGGGGAGCCATGCAGAGCTGAGCGGCGTCCCCCGGGTGCCCACCCGCAGCTCTGGGGAGGGGGGACACGCCGGCGTGCAGGGATGGCAGGAGAAGGGCTGTCACCCCCGCACCGGGCTTTGGCTGCCCCTCCGTGCCCGGCCATGCCCTGCAGGAGGCTCCGCAGAGCGGGGCTGAGGGCAGGGAGAGGATGAGACCTGATCCCGCCATCACCCCCTGCCCGCAGCCGGGGGCTCCGTGCTCCTTTCTGCCGCGGGGATCTCGGCACCTGCCGGGCTCCTCCCGTGCCTCCCCATCAGGGGCTCCCTCCTCCACCCTGCTCTCCATCCACGGCTCAGTCCAACCACTGGTGGAGCATCCCAGCCTCACCGTTCCCAGTCCCCTGAAATTCAACCCCTCTCCCCTGTGCACTGTCCCCACAAGGCTGAGCCCCCCAGCCCAGCCCTGTCCCCGCCGTGTCCCCAGCAGCACAGGGGCAGGTGGCTGCCGCCATCCAGGCCTTGGCACACGCGGTGGCAGTGCCACCCGCATGGCACCGGCGTGACCGGGCAGCCGCTGCCCGAGGCTGGCAGAGCAGTGAGTCAGAGCACAGAGGCAGGGCTGGCACCTCGCTCAGAACAGGGCTCAGCGCTCAGGGCTTCTCCTGCAACCTGCCAGGCTCCGTGCTCAGGCTCCAGCAGCTGCTGGCCAGGGCTGCTGAGGGAACCGGAGTGACTGGAGTCAAGCTGAGGGGCTGGGTTTGGAAATCGAGGATGAGGAAGGATGGGCTGGACATTCAGAGAAATGCCCTCCCTGCCAAACCTGCACTTGTTCCTCAAAGGCTGCAGGACCCCGAGGGCTGCCAGGACAGGCTCCAGCGTGGAAACAAAGGAGCTCAGTCCCATCCAGTAGCACTGCTCACAGTGTCTGACCCTCACCCTGCTGGGGAAACTGGAGATGGCTCAGCTGAGACAAACTGGCACAGAAAAATGTCTCAAAGTCTCACTTGGCTCTGGGCCGAGTGTTTGTTTCTTCGATTGCCTTGCTTGATGACATTAGTATTGAAATGACCCCGAGCAGACAGAGCTCAGGACACCTCACTGCCCTGGAGGGTGATTGTGGTTCACACCTGGGCTCTTCCTGGGCTTCTGCAGGGGCTGCTGCCAGGCAAAGCCCACCAGGCCCATACCAGGAGCCAAGGGCAGCTGTGCTGAGTTGCCCAGCCTGGTTTCTGCTCTGGAGATGAGAAGTCCCTGTGGAAAATCCCTCTGGGGAGGAGGTGGTGAACACTGGCAGTGTGGCACATCTCCATTCCGACCCCTGGGCACCAGTGTGCCCCTGTGGCCTGGAGCTCTGGAGCTCTGGCATGGCAGGAGAGCATGGTCACTGCAGCCCAGGCTGCATGGCACCGAGCCCAGGCCCTTGGGCATCACACACTGCCCCAGCAGCCAGGGCTGGACCCAGAGGATCTTCCCCGTGGCCAGAGGATCTCTGCTCTCACCCACAGCCTCTGTGCTCCTGCCCAGGCCTTCCCATTTGTTCTTATGCCAGCATCATCCTGGAGTTTAAATGCTCCCTCTCCCTCCCTGGTGTTTATTCTCTGGGTGTATTTATAGAGAGCAATCAGGCCTGCTCAGCCAGGGTAAACAAGCCGTGCTCCTGCTCCTGCTCCTGCTCTCGCCTGAGCGCCCTCTGCTCGTCCCAGGAGCTTTCCCCTCTGCTCTCCTCCTCCCCCCGAGCCTCCCTGCCTGCAGAGACCCCGACCAGTGCCTTGTCCAGCTGTGGGCTCTGCCACTGCCACCTTTGCTGTGTTGTTCTGCACCACCCTGCTCCTCCTGTCCATCCCTCCCTGGCTGGTGCCACCAGCCCCTCTGTGGCACTCAGAAACATTGCTCATCCCAGTCACATCCCAGAGCCCCACAATGGTGCAACCCAGACCTGCCCCAGTGTGAGGTGGGAGGAATTGTGCCAGAGCAATTGAGATGTTTGAGCCTGAGGATCTTTGCTTTTTGAAGGCAAGGTAGGTCAGCTCAGGTGCAGACCTCACCTGGGGAATGCCTCTGGGGGCTGCCCAGTGTGGCATGGCACCCTGAGTCCTCTGCACCCTGCATGAGAGCCAGGACAGCACGCTGCCAGCACAGGCTGTCCCCAGACTTTGTGACTCTGAACCCTCTTTCTCTCCTGCTGCCCAGGCTGGAAACTGGTGCCAGACCCAGGAGCATCTCCCTTAGGCAGGGGAAGTGATTTGAGATGTGCCCTGAGTTTCTCAGCTCACCCTCCTCCTTCCCCAGCCTCCCCTCCTCTCAGACACTTGCACAAGCTCAGCTGCTCAGGCAGGGTGCTGAGAGCTGGATGTGCCAAAGCAGAAGAGCTGTGGGCTCACTAATGTCTCATCTGGAGCATTCAGTTTTCCCTGGGTGCTGTGTCTTGTGTCCAGACTGGATCAAAACGTCCCTGCCAGCACCTGGGGGCTCTGCTGTCCCTGGAGCTGTTCTGGCACCATCACCCTGCTCTGCTGTTCCTGTCCTCTGCTTTGGCTGTGCTTGGTGTCTGGCTGCCTGGGCAGACAGACAGACAGACAGACTGACCTGGTGCATCTGTCCAGGTGAGATGCGTCTTCATGGTACTGCCAGGCTCTGCCTATTGCAAAGGAGATAAAAACCTCTGTGGTCTGGCTGAAATGAAAAATACCCTGCAGGGATTAGAGCAGCACCTGCAGGGATTAGAGCAGCACCCCTCAGGACTCTCTGCTTTCTCTCAGGGGCCTGGGCAGGGTGTTCCTGCCCTTCCCACCCTCTGGGGTTTCCGCAGACAAATCTCTGCTGCTGTGCACCCCAGGCCATGGCAGCAGAGCCACCCTGCCTCTCCCAGCCCAGCTGTGTCCTTGGCACGGCGCTGTCTGGAAACCAGACGCCCCCAGGAGCACATCCCTGCAGCTCTCTGCATGCAGCCCGTCTCACCCTGCTCCAGAGCCTTCCCACATCCCAAAGGAGGCAGTGGCTGTCCCCAGCAAAGGTCACCTTCACGCTGCTGCTGCTGAGCCCTGTGCAGGCTGAGCTCTCTGCACTGCATTTCCCAGGGCACCAGGCACCCTTCTGGGGTCTCCCATTGGGGAGCCTTTGCCTCTTTCCACAGCCAAAACCTCCCCAAACCTGTTCCCAGGGGCTGTCAGTGCCTCCTGCTCCAGGGCTGGGATGAGGCATCCCTGCTCTGTGAAGCTTTTCAGAATGCAGGCTCCATCCTTCCATGGCAGCCCTGCTCCTCCACAGCATCGGCGTTTGCCTGGGTTTCCCCTGGGTCACAGATTTATCTCCAATTTGCCAAAGCCTCCCTCCTTCCCCAGGGTGTAGGAAAAGCCTTTGCTTGAAGTCAGGATGAATTTGTAACTTCCCCAGGAACCTGCTCCTCCAGTGCAGAGGAGAAATCACGCTCGTGACACATCTCACGGTGACATGAGCCACACCACAGGGACAGCCCACCCCAGAACTGCCAGCGTGGCACCCAGAGCTGGCACCCAGCTCCCTGCACAGCCCCTGCCCATGCCAGCATCTCCCCAAGCCTCACAGAGGGATTTCAAGGGCATTTAGGAAGGGATGAAATCCCCAGACAGAAGTTTCCTGAGGCCCAAAGCAGCATCAGGCTTCCTCCAGTTGCTGAGTCTGAGCAAAGACTTCTGTCTGCTGGCTTGTTTTAGCTTGCCATTATGTTCTCCAAAGGAGAAATTCATCATGTGCAAGCTAAGGAAGGCAGAGTCAATGTGAAATTTTAAAACCTTTAAAGAGTTGAGAGCCCTCTAAATTTTTAATGAAGGCATCCAAACTGCCAGGTACCTGCAGAGATGGCTAGGAGCCCTCTGCCAGCAGCAGAGAGGGTGCCCCTGATCCAGGAGAGGATGAGCTGCCACCTCCTGCACCTCCTCACCCTCTGCACGCCCTGCTGGGCTCCCTCCTGCAGGGACATGGTGGCTCTGGGCAGTTGCTCCATCCTTGCAGATGGGGATGCAGGGAGCACCCAGAGCCAGCCAGGTGGAGGAGAGGGCAGCAAGCAGTGGTGTGCTCTGTCTGTCCCCCATCAAGTGGCTCCCCTTTGTGTGTCCCCCCCAGTGCTGTGGCCCCTCCAAGGCGCTCATGCTGTCGCTGTTGGTGTCTCTGCAGGCCCTGCTCTCCCTGCGATGCCCAGCCACCCCCACGAGGTCCCTGTCCCCTGCGTTAGGTGCTGAAGCAGCAGGCTCCCGGTGCTGCACACACCAAGGTAGGCAGCGCTGTGGCTCTTGGGGGGCTGGGGGGGCCATTTCACTGCCCGTGGTGTGGGGGACACAGCAGAGTCGTGGGGTGCATGGGGAGGCTCAGAGGTACTGCCTGGGGCTGCCTGGGTGGAGCCAGTCAGGTCACCCAGGATGGGGGGGACTCATCTTGGTGACTCTGAGGCAGGCAAGAGGCACCTGAAGCAGCTCAAGGCCAGGGGAGTGAGGACCAGCTCAGGATCTCAGCAGATGCTGGGCACGGTCCCACCTGGAGACCATGGCAAGTGATGGTGACTGTGGAGGTGGCACAGGGCCAGGGCTTTTTTCCTTTCTTCTTCTTTTTTTTGGTTTTTTTTTTTTTTTGTTGTTTGTTTGGTTTTTTTTTCCATTTGAAAGCCCCCAGATGGGAAAGGTACGAGCCAAACCCCTCTGAAAGCAGCCAAGAATGAATTTCCTGGCCCGAGCCCCAGCAGCTCTTGGAGCAGCACGGTGCCTGTCCGGCGTCACGGCGCAGCAGAAACCCCCAGCACAGGCAGCTGGGGGGCAGCAAGCCCCACACCCAGCCCAGCCACTCCTGGAGCCCCCTGCCCGCCTCCCCAGGCAGGGCAGTCAGGCTCATCCTGCTGCTCCCACCGAGCTGCAGCTTGGCCCCAGCCCAGGCACCCAGATGTCCCCCCAGGCTGCCACGGAGCCCCCACCATGCAGCCATCTGCTGCCAGCAGGGTGCCCCTGGTGCTGTCCCCCTTATCCAGCTCTGTTGCCCAGGCCATGGGGCATTCTGGGCTCCCAAATCTCCCCTCTCATGGGATACAATGAGCCCTTCACCCACAGAAGGCAGGTACTCTGGGAGTTTGGGTCAAGCATCCCTGCTCCTCACTCCCTCCCACTCCCCAGCACTGCTGGTACAGAGAGGGGTTAAAGCACCCCTGTCCTCAACTCAGGTGCCCCAAAGAGCTCACAGGATCTTTACAAAATCAATGCTTTATCAACATGAGGCTGAACCTCAGGTGGCAGTGCCAAGGGTCTCATTTTTAGGGTGTTTTGGCTGGCGAGGGGACAGGTGGGGGCTGCCATTGCTCTGCTCTGACCTGGCTGCTCAGCCTTGAGCCAATCATGCCTTTGTCCTTCGTGTCTTGTTTCTGCCAGTGAAATGAGGGTGGGTACAACCACTTTGAGGCTTTCTGTGGGGAGTGGGTGCCCAAATCCCATCCTGACCCAGAGCCAGGAGATGATCCCTGTGCATCCACCACCCATGCAGTCCTGACCACCTCAGTCAGTGGTGTCTGCACGGGCCCTGTCAGTGTGGCAAGGATGAAAATCCGTGTGTGCACAGGGTGAGGGGCTGGGCAGGCAGCACAGGGGCTCGGGGGGGTTTTGCTGCTTCCAAGCAGAGCCTGGTGTGCTGTGCCCAGCCCGGCTCCGCACCGGCCCTGCAGAGCTGCGAGTGTGCGTGCCTGCCATAAATATTGATGGGGTGCACTCAGCGCCAGCGTGCCCTTGGAGAGGCCATGGGGGTGGAAATGCTGTCCCTGCTGCGTGGGCAGGGCAGCACAGCCTGGGGGAGAGCACCAAGGGGAACACAGAGTCTGTTCCGGGGGGTGGGAGCCATCCTATATGGATGGGGGCTTGGAAGCGGGCAGGTGAGTAAGGCCAGGGGTCATAAACCTGTTTGGGGAGCTGGCCAGACCTGCAGTGAGCATTAATGTGGCGGCTGCGTCTGCAGAGAGCCACCAGGGCCTGTCCCCAGCAGCCACAGCAGGATAAACAGCGAGGGGCTGCAGTGCCTCTGTTTAACAATGCACAGCACAGAGGCACCGGGCACACGCAGGGAGTCGGGAGTGCAGGCGTGAGGAGTCACCACTGCAGCACTCCAGGGGCAGGGTCCACCCCAGCAGGGACCCCTGGCACTCCCAGGTCCATCCTGGTGTGTCCCAGTGCTCATGTTGTCTCCTTGGGGTTCTGGGTGGCTCTGAGACCAGGGCTGGGTGAGCAGAGGGCACAGAGCAGGGGTGGCAAAGCCAAGGTGCTCGGTCACACCGTGGCTGACAGCCCAGCCACTCTGGAGTGTTCTTAGCTGGAGGCTGGAGCTGAGTCCCTGTCCCCTTGGGAGGTCCCGCTGGGAGATTCAGCCCCTGCAGCACTGTGTGACACAGATGTGGGTGTAGATGGCAATTTTGGGGAGCTCTGGAGGGCTGAGCAGCACTGGGAGCACCCCTCTCTCTCTGGTACCCTCCGGGGGCACTGCCATGCTGGCAACAGCTGGAATTACGGGCTCGGTCCTCTCCTCTCCCCATCCTGGCTCAGCCACAGCCTCCCCGGCCCGCAGGCAGGGCTGGGATGAGCAGGTGTGGGATGGGGCCCTGCAGCAGGGCTGGGATGAGCAGGTGTGGGATGGGGCCCTGCAGCAGGGCTGGGTGAGCAGGTTCATGATGGGGCCCTGCAGGGGTGAGCTCACTGCCGGCTCCTGTGGATGCCTCGGGCTGTGCCCTGCGAGGAGCAGCCCCGTGATCCGGCCCCATGTGCTGTGGCAGCTCCCTGCACCCGCTGCTCCCCAAAGCACACTGCACCCCGAGAGGGGCAGGATGGGCTGGGGGTGCCCCCTGCACCCCTTGTCCTGCCAGGAGAGAGTGGCAGTGGCAGGGCTGTGGCAGCAATGCAGATGGGCAGTAATGCGGAGGGTTGTGATGCAGGGATTCAGCAACAGCCGCAGTGTCAGTCCAGAGCCCCTCTGGCTGCAGGGGTGCACAGGAGAGGCAGCAGGATCCCCCCCAAGCCAGCCAGCAAAGCCCAGAGGCAGGGAGAGCCCCAGGGCTTGGGGCTGGCAGAAGTTACCCCATAAGGGTGGGTTTTGTCTATTTGCTGTGTCCCTCTCTGTGAGCTCAGGGGGCCCTGCCACAGCTGAGCTTCATGGTGGAGCGGGGCTCAGGCTGTGGCATGAGCCCACCGCCCTCCCCCAGCCCCAGGGCTCCTGGTGAGTGCTGAGCAAACAGACCACACTCACACCCCGTGTCTGACCTGGCTGTGATAAGGGCTGAGTGGGTGCTGGGGTCTCTCTCACGGTACTGGGGGTCTGTGGCTTGCTGCAGGGCCAGAGTGGTGGCCCCAGCATCGCCAGGGTCTGCACGTGGGTGGCTCTGGGCACCACAGAGTCTCCTGGCCCTGACACAGCATGAGGGAGTGACGCCGGGTCCCTGCTGTCCCCAGCAGTCTGTGCTCAGCGCTGAGCTGGAGGGGCTGCTGTCTCCAGACTGACCCCACAGCACGGCTGGTGCCTGTCCCTGTCCCTGTCCCTGTCCCCCCCAAGGGACCAGAGCTGCTCTTCAGAGGCTGCAGCTGCTGCATGTTTCGTGCTGCCTCTTCCTCTTCTCCCCGCTGCTGTTTTTGTTTTGTTTAAGAGGCTGGGTTACGAATTTTAAACAGGCTCCTGAAAAACCCAATTACCTCCAGAAGACAACCTGATAAAAGCTGCCTAAGTGGCACTGTGGAAATCGCCTTGTGCAGCAGCTGAGGGAAAACCAACATAACAAAGCCTTTGGAAATGGAGTTAACCACTTTTAATCCCTCGGTGCAATGAGAAGGACCAATAATTATTTTCTGCAAAGATGTTGGGGGGCGGATAAGTGGAATAACTGCCCTGGGCTAATGGGTGACAGCAGGCTGGGCTGGCAGTGCTGCAGGGATGGGTGCAGCTATTCCCTCTGCCTGGGGGCTTGGAAAGGGCCCACAGAGGCTGTGACCTTGCAGGGTCCCTGTCTGGCTGTCAGGGGACAATGGGGACGATGCCAGCAGGCAGGTGCCACTCAGGGATTGCTGTGGCTGATGTGGTGGCACCAGCCAGCCCCATCCCCTCCCTGGGTGCCAGCTTGGAGTGGAGCACGGAACTGCTGGGGCCCTGGCACCTGTGCTGACTCCACAGAGGCGTTTGCAGGGTTTGGAGGTGCTGAGAGTTTCCTCCTCCTTTTGGCTACGGTGCTGCTCCCCAGCCCCTCACACCTCCCCACACCCCTTCCCTTCCTGCCTCCCCCAGAGCTCCAGGCAGGCACCCAGCAGGTGACACTGCCCGGGATGATGCCAAGGAACAGCTGGGCTTAAAGGAGTGCCCACACTGGGCACAAGCCCCGGGAGCATCCCCCAAACACCAGCTCAGCTCTGGGACTGCGGGGGTCCCCTGGATCCATCTCTGTCCCACAGCAGGGGTGTGCAGGGCAGGAGGCAATGCCCATGGGGATCCTGGCCAGCAGGGCAGAGCAGGGAGCCCCCAGCCCGGCAGCTGCGGTGGCACTGCCAGCACTGGCAGCTGGAGTGCTGGGGCGGGCGGCCTGAGCTCACACAGCCTCGTGCTTCCCGCAGCAGCAGGGACGGGGGCTGCCTCGCCCACCTCCCCCGGCCACCCAAACCCACGTGGGACAGTGCCTGGGGACAGTGATTGGGGACAGTGATTGGGGACAGTGATTGGGGACAGCGATTGGGGACAGTGACTGGGGACAGTGCCTGAGGACAGTGCCTGGGGACAGTGACTGGGGACAGTGACTGGGGACAGTGCCTGGGGACAGTGCTCCAGGCCCCTGACCCCCAAGAAAGGCAAGCCCGATTTAGCACTGGGCACTTGCACAAGGGATGTCCCTGCCAGTTTGGCCTGAGCTGATACTGGGAGCAGTCCTCTCTGGCGCACTGGGATCTACTGGAGGAGGATGTGCTTAATGAGCCGAGGCATCTCCAAAGATTGAAAGACTCAAGGACCCATCCCAGGAACAAAAGGAGGCGTTTGTCAGGCGCTGAGAGACGGGCTCGTTAATTCCTCCTGGCTGTCACACTTATCTGTAATGAATTTGTGCTCCGCTGTATTATTTTTAATACAATGGGAGCGGTGCCGCCCGCCCACCGCCCGGCTGCCGGGAGCGCTGACGTCAACGCCCGGAGCAGGGCTGCCGCAGGACGGACGGACGGACGGACGGACGGACGGACGGGCCAAGCACAGGCCTGTCTTGCCGCCCACGTGCCCGTCCCGCCAGCTGCCAGCAGGCAGAGCGGGGCTGGGCACAAGGGCAGGAGGGGTTTTTACCCTGGAGGTGGAAGAAGGAGTTGTTGGTCAGTGCCAGGCTGAGGGCTCGGGGCTGGTGGAGATGGGTTGTGCCAGGGGGTGGTTTTGGGAGCAGTGAGAGCGGGTGAGCAAGAGGGACGAGTCCCTGATGTGCTGTCCCTGTGTCCCTGTGCTGAGGTGTCCGTGGCAGCAGCCGTGCGGTGAGGCAGGAGCTGGCAGCGGCTGTGCACGCACAGATCTGCCAGTGCATCTCTCTGGAGGTGGCACTTGCAAGCCAATTTTGTCCCCCCTGGCTGAGAGATGTCCCCCCACTCCTGCCCCACACCCTGCATCTCCCCCAGCCTTAAACAGCCCCACAGCATCTCCTGAGCCCACCCCAGGGGGCTTGCGGGGGCAGCTGCAGCCTGTCCCAGCTCCCTGCAGCCCCCCGCGTTTAGGGGGGACCATCCCTGAAAGGACCCCGCACCCCGACCCTCTGCAGTGCCCTTCTGGGCTCCCACAGGCTGCTGGTCCAGAGCGTCACTATCAAACACGGGCTATCCCAAAGCCCGGCTCCAAGTGCCGCTGGGGAGATTCGCACAGGGCTCACGTTGTCTCTGAGAACCCAGGGCTGCATTAATGAGGAGGCACCGGCTGTGCGAGGAGCGCACAGCGTCCCTGAGCATCGGGACAGGGGTGGGGAGCCCTGTCCCGCACTGCAGAGGAGGAACACGGGAGGGGCTCAGGAGCCCATCTGCATTCGGGCAGGTGCTGGGGGGCAGGCAGGGGGGTGCACCCCATTTCCTACCCAGGAACCCCTCGCTGAAGGGGGTTCTGAGCTCCGTGGGCATCATATCCTCGATGCCACCATAGACCCCCTCTGGCATCCCCTCCCTGTCCTGGGAACCCCGCGGGGGGAGCAGCACCAAAAATCCAAAGCTGGGGCCCCCGAGCGGCAGCTCTTGGCGGAAAGGGGAGGGAGGGTGATATGATTTATCAGGGACTTTAATTAAACTCCCGCAGCCGCCCCGCATCGCTGCAGAGGAGGCCGGGGAGCTGCGAGCCGGGGGTTCAGTGAGGGAGCCGGGGCTGCGGGACCGGGGGCATCTCGGGCTGATGAACGCCTCGTTTCCCCGGTAATTGCGGCGGCGGTGAATCATTAACCCCGCGCAGGAGGCGCTGCCCCGCGGGTGCTGTCCGAGGGGCCCCGTCCCGGGGAGCGGTGCGGGGCTGCCCGGGACGTTCCCGGGGGTCGTGCGGCGTTTCCCGGGAGGGTCCCGCACCCCGCCGCCCCCGCGGGGGCCGGTCCGCACGGTGGCGGTGGCGGTGGCGGTGGCGGTGGCGGGGGGAGTCGCTCCGGGCGGGCCCACGCGTGCCGCCGGGGGCGGGAGGGGGCCGGGCCGCGGCGGGGCGGGGCGGGGCGGAGCGGCGGCAGCGGCGAGCGGCGGCGGAGCCGGTGAGTGCCGGTGCTGAAGGGACAGCGCCGCCGCTGCGGCACCGGGCGGCCCCGGGCGGCGGGCGGGGCCCCGCGCCGCGGACCCCGGGGTGGGCTGGGGGGGAGAGGGGTCCCCGCGGCACCGCAGCCCCTGCGCGACCCTCGCCCCCCGCGCGGTTCCCGCCTTCCCCGTGTCCCCGCGTTCCCCGGTGTCCCCTGCGCCCCCGGTGCGCGTTCCCCGACCCGGGTTCCCCCCTCGTCGTCCTTGTGTCTGCACCCCACCTTCCCCCGCTCCCCACGGCGGCGCGCCCCCCGCGTCCCGCACCCCGCTGCGGTGCCGGTGTCCCCCGCATGCCGGGTGTCCGCTACGTCCCGTGTCCCCGCTGTCCCCCGCCTTCCCGGCGCCCCCCCGTGTCTCCTGCGTCTCTGCAGCCCCTGTGGCTCCGGTATCCCGGTGCCTGCCGGTGTTCCCCCCGTTTGCTGTGTTCCCCCTGCGTCGCCCGTGCACCTCCCGACGTCCCCCGCTATCGCTACGAGCCCCCCCCCCGCGACGCGACCCCCGTGCTCCGGTGCTCCCCGTGATCCTTGCACCTTGCCCACGGTCCCGGTGTCCCTGCGCTCTCCGCTGTTCCCCGTCCCCGGTCCCCCCAAGCCCCCGCTGCAGTCTCAGGGCTCAGCACTGTACTGAGCCCCTCCTCCATTGTCGCGGGGTGCCCCGGGGCTGGCAGCAGCAAACTTCCCGGGGTCACAGCTCCCCCAGCCCCATGGGGGTTCCGGGGCGCCGGGGTGGGGGTACCCGCTGGGCTGCAGCACCCACCGGGCACGTACACACACACACTCACACACACACACACACACACACACTGCAAACTGCACCCCCAGGCTCCGAGCACAGCCTGCAGCACCCCACTCACACGGGGCACGTGGGGGGCACGGGCACCCCCCCCACACACCCTCTGCCGTAATCCCCCGCATGCACACACAGCACACAGGCAGCCTGCAACACCCCCACACGTACACACACGCGACACAGTCTGCAAATTTGTGTGCTCAGCCCCCCTCAGCCTGCAAACCCACGGACCTGCACACACAACCCCTCCACACTCACACTCGCACCGCCTGCAGCACCCCCCGAGTGTGCAAACTCACGCACACCCGCAGCACAAACACCCAGCAGGCAGGCACAGCCCGCAGCCCTGCGTGCACACGCATCCGCAGAGCCCGCAGACCCCAAAACTCGCGCACGCTCGCGCTCCGAGCTGGCAGACGGGCTGCAAATCCGCTCATCACGGGGGCACGCGCAACCTGCAGCCCCACAAAGTTACCCACACGCACCCCCCATGCAAACACAGCCTGCAGGCGCCCGCAAACACACCCCTTGAGCAAACACAGCCCGCACGCAGAGCTCACGCGCAGCGCGCGCAGGCACGGCACACACCTGCTCCGTCCTGCACAGGCAGTGCCCCTGCACGGTGTCACCCACCTGCACAGGCAGTGCCCCTGCACGGTGTCACCCACTGCAGAGGCAGTGCCCCTGCACGGTGTCACCCACCTGCACAGGCAGTGCCCCTGCATGGTGTCACCCACTGCAGAGGCAGTGCCCCTGCACGGTGTCACCCACCTGCATGGACAGTGCCCCTGCACGGTGTCACCCACCTGCACAGGCAGTGCCCCTGCATGGTGTCACCCACCTGCACAGGCAGTGCCCCTGCACGGTGTCACCCACCTGCACAGGCAGTGCCCCTGCATGGTGTCACCCCCCCGCAGCACCAGCACGGATCACACACACAGGGATCACACACCATCACAGGCTGCTGCTGCCTGCAACCCCTGCAGCCCCCAAGCGCTGCCGCAAGGCGCCAACAGCCTCTTCCCCATCCCTCTGCAGAGCACTCGTGCTGCTGTAGACACACACACACACACACACACAGCACCCCGGGTCCCCCACACAAGGTCTGTCACCCTCTCCTGCAGAGCAGGGGCACACGGTGCGTGGTGGCGTGGTGGGTCCCCATCCCACCAGCCCCCAAGCAGCACACCAGGGCTCCCGGTGCCACACCAAGGGCAGTGCTGAGGTGGAACATCTCTCTGGAGTCCCTGCCTTGGTGCCTCCACATGTCCTTAAGGCCAGAAGGGATGTAGGGAGGGGCTGAGGGGAGCAGGCACTGTCACTCTCTGCCTGCAGACCCCAGAACCTCCCTCTGCCCATCCTGGAAGGCATTTGGGCTGAGGATGCAGAGGGTGCAAAGCACAGCCCAGAGATCATTCCATCCCTCAGCCTGGGCAGCAGGGAACCTCAGTGTGGTATCCCCAAACTTGTCCTTCTCTGCCTGCGCAGGTGGCCCAGGTCAGCAAGCCCAGAGAGCGGTGGATGAGCGCTGGGCACCGGCCTAGCCACACGCACACACCGGCACCATGGACTTCGTCATGAAGCAAGCGCTGGGCGGTGAGTGCGAGCTGTTCCCCCTCAAGGGTCCCCCTCTGTGAGCAATGCTGGCCCAGCACCCCAGTAGCACAGTGGGAGGGACATGGCAAGGGGACAGAGTCACACAGAGAGCCACTAGCAGTGGGGAGCTGCTGCTGGAGCCCTCCGGGTTTCCCACTTCCAGTGCCATCAGCGGCTGGCTGGGGAATCCTGGCTCTTCTGCTGTTAAGTGGGATTCCCCAGCAGGTCCCCTGGGTGCTGAAGAAGGAGCTGCTGGCATCTCCCCCAGCTGACACTGAACTAGGGCAGAACAGCCAGCCCGTGGTACTCCCCATCCCCACAGCCTCCCAAGCCTGCACTTCAGCGCAGGTGGCCCTGGGGATGTCCCAGGTCCTCCTTGCCAGGGACCTCCTTGCCCTCCCTGCTGCTTTGGGGGCTTTGGCAGCAGCACCCTTGAGGACCAACCAAGAGTCTCGTTATGCACAGGGGCCACCAAGGACATGGGGAAGATGCTGGGGGGCGAGGAGGAGAAGGATCCCGACGCGCAGAAGAAGGAGGAGGAGAGGCAGGAAGCCCTGCGCCAGCAGGAGGAGGAGCGGAAAGCCAAGCACGCCCGCATGGAAGCGGAGCGGGAGAAAGTCCGGCAGCAGATCCGTGACAAGGTGGGCACACACCTCCCCTGGGCCCGCCCCTGCCTCCCCTGTGGCAGCCGGGCTGGGCTGGGACAGGGAGCGGCATGGCCGGGAGGAGGGCGGACGAGCCGGTGGCGACGGGCACGGGGCACAGCGCGGGCAGTGCCCGCTGCCTGCCCTGCTGAGAGCCTGTGTCCCCTCAGTACGGGCTGAAGAAGAAGGAGGAGAAGGAAGCAGAGGAGAAAGCTGCTCTGGAGCAGCCGTGTGAGGGCAGCCTGACGCGCCCCAAGAAGGCGATCCCGGCAGGCTGTGGGGACGAGGAAGAGGAGGAGGAGGAGAGCATCCTGGACACCGTCCTCAAGTACCTGCCCGGCCCACTGCAGGATATGTTCAAGAAGTAACAGCACCGTCAACCCTGCCATAGGGTGCTGGGGCACGGGCGCCCTCTCTCCTACAACTCCTCCATCAGTTCCCTTGGCCCCGGAGAGGGGGTTCCCACACCCCCTCCCATCCCCTCCTGCCCTGTCCCCCGACCAGACCAAAAGCCCGCCCCGTCCCGTCCAGGCAGGGCCCCCCCACCACGCCAAAGGGGAGCAGCCCTGGCCGGACAGGGCGAACCGGGACCAAATGCACTGATGTAACCTCGCGGCAGGCCAGGGGCACCCAGGCCCTACCGGCCCCCGGGGTGGCTCCTCGTGCCCCCTGCCCTGCCCCTTCTCTTCTCCCAGGGGACCCCAGGAGGCCTCTGCTCGCCTGCCCCCGTCCCCAACACTGCCATCCCCCTGCCCCCTCCCGCCCTGGGCCAAGCCCAAAGCACAAAGCCAGGCGCCCTGCCCGCAGCTCCCCCAGCCCCGGTCGTCGGGCACGGGGGTCCCCCGGGGCTGCCCGGTGTGCTCCTGCATCGGGGGGTTGGAGGGGACCCCCCTCCCCGCATCTCTGGCCCCATAGTTAAAGCCATATCAGTTAGACTGCAATACTTCAGCACCGGGAGCAGCGGGCGCCGCGCTCCGCCAACCGTGTACAAAGGCACGCGCGGGGCAGGGGCCCCCCTGCCCCGTCCCCGTCCCCGCCGCTCGCTCGTCCGTGTCTTGGCCCCGCTGGCCCCCGTCCTCGCATTAGTGTCTCCGTGCCAGGGTGCGCCCCGTCGCTCCATGCGTCCTCGTGTCCGCTGCTCTGACTCCCACCCCCGCGTCCCCACTGTCCCCGGGGGCCGCCCGCGGCGCCCTCGCCGTGCTGCGGGACCCCCGCTCTGTCCCCTGCAATAACGCCAGCGCGGGCCGAGGGCTGCCGGGCCGCTCCCGGGCTGGGGACACCCGGCTGCCCTCACCTGACGCTGGACACGTGGGTCCCCGGGCCTGGGAAGGGATCCCGGGGTGTCCCAGGAGCCGCTGCTTGCACCCCAACCGGGGGAGGCAGGGGCACAGCCCCGTCCCGGCCCGTCTCTGCCACACCGTGCTCCCCCTCCCTCCCTCCCTCCCTCCCTGTGCTTCCTCAGCCAGGCCCCCGGCCGCTCCCCAGGGCCCTCCCGGGAGGTGGCGGGCAGCTCGGGGCCCCACAGACATGCTGTGACCATCCTGCTCGAACTAGTCTTTGACGATCTAATAAAATAAAGGGATTTGTACATTGCTCCGGCCTCTTCTCATCCGTTGCTTTCCTGGGCCCCCGTGTCAGCTCCCTCACCCCACCAACCTCAGGTGGTGAAATCTGGCAGCTCATCACACCTGGGCTGGCCCCCAGCCAGGCCCCTACAGGTGCAGGAAGCAGCCACACGTGGCTCCCAGTCCTGCTCATTCCTACTCCACAGGCACCTGTCCTCTCTGGGGTTGGGGACAAGACAAAGGGGATGTCCCACATCCATGGCATAAAGGTTTCTCCCCCTTCCAGGACTTCCCTCACTGAATGACTGGGGATACCCAGGGCTCCAAGGGCTGTTTCTGATGGGTCACAGCATTCCACCACTCCAAGGGAGGAGCATGAGGCTCTGGGCATGGTGCATCTCATGCCCCCACGCCGAGGCAGAGGCCCTGGCAGTGCCCAGGCTTGGCACAGCTCGGGAGGCTTCAGCCTGGTGCCAGCCTCAGCTCTGATGATGTGCCATCATTTACCAGCAAAGAGCTCAGCTGTTACCCAGGCGGCATCAGCAGAGCAGTCACCCAGAAAAGCTTCTGTCAGAAGGAAATACGAGGGTAGAGAACGGCAGAGATCTCGCAGGCAAGGTCTCCCCTGCAGGCAGGCTGTGCCCTGTGACCCGGCACGGTGCAGGCAGGCAGAAATCCCCAGAGCCCTCGCTGGGCAGGGGGCACAGGGCAGGGGAAGCGCTGTGCCCGGGGCCGGCAGCGTGGCACGGAACCCGCAGCGTCCTCCATGTCCCGATCCGAGCAGTGTCCCCGCTGTCACCTGTCCCCACCGCGGGGACGCAGCGCCCCCTGGTGCGGTGACAGCGCAGGACAGGGGACACCGAGAGCGGGGACAGGAGCGACAATGCCCGACAGACCCTTTGCCAGGGCCCTGCTATGGCCAAGGGAAGGAGGCAGGGGAAGGGAGAGCAGCTCAGCACCCTCCTTCTTCCCCTTCAAACAGCCACAGGCACCTTCGTTAAGGAAGAGGATTTATCAAAATTAGAAAAAGACATCACAAATATTTTAAAAAAGCTGCAGCTGGGAAAACATCTACCAGTTCAAATCCCCCCACCCACCCTCCCCTCATTGCCCCAGCACAGGGAAGGGACATGGGATGTCTGGGAGGGGGAGAGGCAGGCTGTGCTCCCAGAGCTGCCCTTGCCACCAGGCTTTTGGGGACAAGGGGACAGTCACGTATCTCATCACTGCTGGGGAGCCTGGTCACAGCAGAGCAGCTCCCATGGGAGGCTCCTCAGCAGCCACCTTCAGTGACTGATTTTCTTTGGCCACTTGCCTTTGGAACGAGCCCCCCACGCCCCAGAGAGGAGGCAGCAGAGGGGGAGCCCTGCCAGAATCCCCCCATTCTCCCCAGCACACAGCTGCCTGTTTATAAAGCTCCCAAGAACAGGACACACCGAGCTGAGCCCGAGGTCACAGCCCTGCCAGGCTGGCAAGGAGATGAGCCAGCTCCTTGCCCACCTGTGCCAAGCTCCCACCCTCGAGGGCAGGCAGGTGTTGCCTCCCTGGGGGCAGCAGCTTCATCAGGAGTCGTTGGGGAGCCCGAAGAGCTTGACAGTGCCAGCCTCCCTGCTGCTGTCATATTTGCCATCTTTGTCGTCACAGGCGAAGGCCAGCAGAGGCCTCTTGGGGTGCCAGGCCACTGTGAAGGTGGGGGACTCACACTGCACCTCCCAGAGCTTCTCTCCTGCATGGAAAAGGAGCCACATCAGCCTGGAGAGCCTCCAGCCCCCTCTGCTGCTCAGCTCCCCGAGCCAAGCACCTGCTGCTTCCCTCAGCCAAGGGGAGAGGCAGCACAAACGCTGCTCCAGCGCCTTTTAGACACCCAGTGACAAGGTACAGACATGACAGGCAGGCCTGCCACAGACTTCTGAGGCACAGGCTCCCCCTCATGGCATTCTCTGCACAGGAAAGCTCTTCCTTAGCAGACAGATTCTCTGTGTCCTCCCAGCTCCACCAGCACTTCTCCATCCAATTCCCTCCTTGCTGTTCCCCAAAATAAAGCCATTACCTGTCTCCACTTCAGCAATGTCAATGAAGTGATCTTCTGATGCTGAGGCCAGCATCTTCCCATCATGGCTGAAGCTCAATGTCCGCACGGGCCAGTCGAGCCTGCAGCAACCCAGGGGAGCAGACAGTGAGGCTCTGCCACCACAGTCCCCAGAGAGGGGGAAAACAATTCTGGGACAGCTTTACCTACCTGGAGAAGCACCTCACACACACCAGCTCATCCACGTCCCAGAGGCTGACCAGTGCATCAGCACTGCCCGTGGCAAAGTACTTCCCCATGGGATCAAACTTGATGCAGATGCAGTTGGAAGGATGGGCGTTGATGGACTGGATGGGTTTCAGCTCTGGGTAGCTGTGGAGGAGAAGGGAGAGGGCAGGGAGCAGTGAGAGAAGCGCAGGGATTCCCTAGAGCAGGGCAGGCATGAGGCACACCAGGACTGGAGCAAACCCTGCCGAGGCAGGGCTCACTGAGTGTCCAGTGAAGGAGGCAAAGCACCAGGGACCATTTTGGGGAGCTGAGCCCACAGCTGTGGCAACCTCAGCTCCAGGCAAGCTCATTCCCACCAGAGAGCAGGGGATTGCTGGGATGTGGGGCTCAGCTTTCCCAAAAGCAGCAAAGGCATTTGCAAATGACTGCAGCCAGCCGAGCCCACCAGCAGCTAGGGGCACCTGCCTGAGGATGTTGATGCAGCCATTGCCATTGGTGAGGAAGAACATGTTGTTATCGTTGTTCCACGAGATCTCGTTCACCTCAAACTTGAACTGCTCCTCAGCTTTGGAGCGATGTGTCTTGGCATCAATGAAGGTGACCACATCATCCTTGTTCCCCACGGCAATGGTCTGCCCGTCAGGGCTCCAGCAGATGTTGATGTTCTCACCTGAAAGGACAGAAAGGCAGCAGGTCCCACTTCCACTCCAGACCATTCCCACATGGGAAAGACTGCCAGTTCTTCAGTCTAACACACAAACCCTGCATAGCAGCTATCCAGCAGAACCAAACTTGTGACAAGTACAGCTTGAAGACAATATGCCACAGCCCATTTCAGCCAAGATGGGGCCACAGCAATCACCAAACAAGGTCACGCCAAAGATCCTCTGAATCCAGTCATCTCTGAGATCCAGAAAAAGCAGAAGCCAAAAATACCTTTGAATAAAGGTAAGAACATGGCAGGTTGCTATTATACAACTTTACTGTGTCCAAACAACTCAAAACTGGACAGCCCACAGATGGTATTTGGGTTAAACATCACATAAATTCAAACTGTTTTCTGAGTTCACACAAACTTTTATTTCCACCACGGCTCTCTATAAACATGCTTTTCCCCAGTGTCCAGCCTCACAGCCCACTGACTCCAGAGACAAGTACAAAGGACATTTTAACAGCCAGCAGCATATTTCAGCAGTTCTAGCAGTCCTGACCCCACAGTAAATCAGGTCTCACATGATGAGTGCAACACAAATATAATGCAGTTAGCAAAGATGTCCCAACCAGAAATAACCACAGGAAAGGTGCAAAGCTTTGTGCCACTGCAGATGGGTCCCACACAGCTGAGGTTCTGCCGGGACCCAGCTGGGAAGATGTCCTGGGAAGGCAGAACTCACCTTTGGTGTTGACAGTGGCGATGCACTTGGTGGTGCGGACGTCCCAGATGCGGATGGTTTTGTCCCCTGACGCTGTGACAAACAGGTCCGGGTTGCTGGGGTGCCAGCAGAGCTGATCCACGCTGTCCCCGTGGCCGCGGTAGTTGTTCTCCTTCACCTGGAGGGAGAGGGCAGGCGACCTGAGGCTGTGCCCAGCTCTGCTCCAGCTCCTGCCTGCATCCCAGCACGCTGCATCCCCGCTGGGACAGATCAGGAGGAGCCCCAGCCACGCTCCCGCCTACGGCCGGCCAGGATGGAGAACCCGGCCGGGCACCACCCGCTCCGTTCCCGGCCCGCAGCCCCGGCCTGCGCTGCCCCGGCGCTGCTCCTGTTCCGGTGCACACCGGGCACCCACTCCCAGGCCCGGCACCGACCACCGGGACACTCTCCCGCTCCCGGACGCCAGCCCAAGCAGCCGCGCCCGGGCTGCCCGAGGGCTCCCGGTACCGACCCGCACCGCCCTGCCCGCCCGGTGCCGGCGGATCTCTCACCAGCCGGTCCTTCTCGAGCAGGAAGACGCTGGCGGTCTTGTCGAAGGAGCCGGAGGCGAGGCGGCGGCCGCAGCAGCTCCAGGCCACCGAGTGCACCTTGGCGCCGTGCGCCGGGAACTCGCGGCTGCGCGTGTTGGCGCGGAACAGCTCCTGCATGGCCTGCACGTAGGGCGACACCGCCATGGCGGGGCCGCCGCCACCGGCACCGCCGCCGCCGCGCGCGCCCCGCCCCGGCACCGCGCCTGACGCCACTTCCGCCGCCCCCCCGCGCCCGGCGCGGCCCCTCCGGCGGAGCGGAGCCGGCGCCCGCCGCCGCGATGGACAACAGCGTGGTGCTCGTCAGCGATTCCGACTCGGAGGGCGCCCGCTCGCCGCCGCTCCAGCCCTGCCGCTCCCGGCACTCGCTGCCCGGCCCCGCCGTGAGTCCGCGGCTCCCTCCGGGCACGGCGCCCCCGCCCCACACAAGATGGCGGCGCTGCCATGGCGGGCAGGGACGGGGGGCGCGCACGGACGAGCGGCCTCGGGGGCAGTGGAGGGGGTGGCCGTGTGTTCCCCGGTCCCGTCCCGTCCCAGCCGCCTCCTCAGGGAGCTCCCACCCTCTTCCCAGCGGGGCTCGCGTCGCCGCGGTGCCTCCCGCCAGCAGAGCCCCGTTCCACAAACGCGCTCCCCGCAGGGGTCCCGGCCTCTTTGGCCATATACCCTCAGAAAGAGCCCGGTGCCTGCCATAGCGTGTCGCGGTGCCCTCGCTGCACCCCGAGAAGGGTCCGGCCCTGCAGGGCTCGGCCCTCGGCGGGGTCGGGATGCGGTGGGGCGGCTGCCGCCCCTGCTCCCCGTGCCGCTCCTCGGCCCTGTCCCGCTCCGCCGGCGGCTGCGGGGCCGGTGGGGCCGTGCGGCGGCGGTTCCGGCACGGGGCTCGGGCCCGGACGGGGAAACGGTCCCCGGTCCCGCACCGCTGTCCCGGGTCCTGAGGCGGTTGGAGCCCTGCACCTCCCTCGCTCTGCAGCTCCTCTTGCGTCCCGCAGCCCGCTGGGCTTTGCCCTCTCCTGGGGAAGGCAGCAGGTTTGAACCCGAGAAGGAAAGTGGATTTAAATTCTCTGCTAAACGTGTTCGCTGCTTTGACGTGCTGAGGGAGATTTTTTTTCCCCAAGAGCAAACAGGCTCTGACTCCTCCTGAGCTGCCAAAAGCTTGGGAAGTGCAGTGTGTGGTCTGCTGCTGGTGCAGGCACAGCAGCCTCCTTTGCTGCCCCTCGGAGCCTGCATTGCCCAGCGAGGCCCAGATGGGAGTCCCCAAAGTGTCAGGGTTGCTGTAGCTCCGATTGGTGCCACAGATCAAAAGGCAGCTTTGTTTCCTGCCACTCCTGTCCTCCAGAGCAGGTGATGTGACACAGAAGAGTTGGTAGGGTTTGGATCCTGTGCTGTTCCTGCCAGCACCTGGGTACAGGAGAGCTCCCTGTGCTTCCGTGTCCCTCCCTGGACATGGCAGCAGGACTGGCATTTCCCTGTCGTGGGAAGGAGCTGAGCAGGCAGCCAGGTCTGCTCTGAGCCAAGGCACGAGGACATGAGCCCTGAGGGGAGTGGGGAAGAGCCTGGGTTGGCTCAGGCTCAGCTGTGGTGCCAGGGGAGGCTGATCCCAGAGCTCAGGGCCACAGTCCCCCTTGGACAAGCAGAAGGGTCTTTGCCCCTTTTCTAGGCTAGTGCCCTTTTCCCTCTTAGGCTGGGACTACAGTGCCACCATAGCAAGGGCTCCTGGCAGGACAGGACATTGACACTGCTGCTCTGTCCCCACAGGAGATCATTGACCTGACCTGTGAGGATGCAAACTCAGACCCAACGGCGTCGAGCAGCCTCGCCATCATCGACCTGACTGAGGACATGTGCAGCCTTCTCCATTCCACCCTTGGTGCTGCTCAGAACTCCAGAAATGCTGCCCCAGCAGCACACACATCCCATGCCCAACTCTGCCCCACTGCAGAAAAAGAAACACAGGCAGTGCCAGAGCCAAGCCCTGCACCAGCATCACACAGCACTTCTGAGAAGCTCAGCTCCACCATGGTCACAGCAGAAACCATGGAGAACTGCAGCTGCCTTTCTCCTGTCTCTAGGCACCACAGCTGGAGCCTGGAGCAGGATTACAGCACTACTGCCTTTAACAGCAGCTTGGACTCAGAGTCAGACTCAGACTGCCAGTCCCCATCTCCCCCCAGCCTGGACAGCAACAGCAGCATGGGAGCTGATGGCCCAGAGGAGGATCCTCCCCAGCCCTGCCTGGAAAGGAACCTCCCCCCAAGGCTGAGTCCTGCCCCAACCATTCCTGTAGCACCAGGAAAGCCCCAAAGGTCTTTGCCAGAAGCAAGTGACTTCCCAGCACACCAGCCAATCCAGCAAGCTGCCCCAGCCAGGACTGATGCTGACAGCAAGGCCTTGCTGGATAAACTGCACAACTTCCGCAGGAGTGGAGTCCAGCACCTCTTCCTCCAAGGCATCACACCCAACAGGGACACACAGAAGGTAAACAGGGTTTGGAGCAGCCCCTGCTCCCCTTTGCCAGGCAGTTGGGGGCTCTGGTTATTGCAGTTCCCTTCACAGTGGGCCCCACATCACAGCTGGGTTCCTCTGTGTCTGGGGAGCTTTCACCCATTGTCTTGCCTTGCACACAGCAGAAACCTGGGCTCATCCCCAGGGGGAAGCTGAGCATGGTGCACACCACCATGGAGGAGAACATCCTGGAGGGCACCTTGTGTTTCCTGAACGAGTTTGTCTCCTGCCAGCACCGTCCCCCCAAAGATATAATCTGCCACCTGATCAAACAGATGCTGTTGGACACCCACGAAGGGGAGGTCCTCAATGACATCTACACAGTGCTGATGAAGATCCAAATGTATGTGTTCCCCTTGTCCCAGGGCTGGCTGGGTGTTCCCAGGGGTCTGCCCAGCCTAAGGGTTATTCTCTGTGGGGCTGACCCACGGAACAGAGAGTGATTTCCCCTTACAACCCAGGATAATCCTCCTGCCAACACAGGCACACCCTGGGCTCTCTGAGGGTGGGTCAGGGACAGCTTGTGACACAAGGGAGCCCCTGGGGACAGAAGAGTGTGTTTGCCTTGCCCTGAAGCTCAGGTCTCATTTTTCACTGCTGTGACATGGCAGAAGTGCCTTCCCTGGGCTGCAGCAGTGCCAGCAGTGGCTGGAGCAGCTCCCTCAGTTTGCTCAGGCTTCCCACAGAGAGGTACAATGTTTTGTGAGGCCACAGACGTAGGAGTCCTGGGCATCTCCCTGGAGTATAACCCCTGTCTGGTACTTGCAAAAAATTAAATGTGTTATGGGCAGGAGAAGGGGTGAGGGCAAAGATGGAGAGGGGAAGGCACCTGAGCAGGTGGGACTGGGAGTGGCAGGGGAAGGGCTGAGAGGCTGCTGTGCCTCCAAGCAGAGGGTCAGGCAGTTCAGCACAAATGGACATGGCTGTCCTTGCAGGCTCCACCCAGCCAACATCACCACGGTGGGATGGGACTGGACACTGGTGAAATTCATCATGGAGCAACAGGTACTTGTCACCTTGTGTGTCACAGGGGGCAGGGATCATCCAGCACACGCTGCCTCAGGGAGGGTGAGTGTTCCTAAATGCTTCCTGTGGCTGTGCTCTGCTGCAGAGCTGGCCAGTCCAACAGTGAGTGCCAGCTGGGAATCCCACACTCATCCACAGTGCTCCCTTACTCTGCACAGTTTTAGGCAGGCTGTCCCACTGAAGAAGGTGCAGATAAACTCTGGGTGACAGCACTAATGCAATGCCCAGCAATGCCCCTCAGGCAGCTCCTCCTACAGCTACTCCTCAGTATGTCCATCAATACATTCCCAAGCCAGCCAGCTTCCCTGGTGTTCCTGGGCCTGTGGTCCCACCAGACTCATGTGCTCTCCCTCTGCCCCCAGGAGAAGCCCCCTGGCTGGCTCCTCTTCCTGCAGTACGTGGTACAGACCCTGGAGGATGACTTCCAGCACAATCTGAAGTCATACCAGCTGCAGAAGTCAATTGCCAAGAAAGTGGTTTCATGTGACTTGTGCTTCAACAATGTCAAGTAAGGGACACTTCCTCCTTGTTGTCTAACCAGAAGCTCAGAGGCAGGGCCTTAGGGAACATTTGTCAAGACTCCAGCCAGACTTTGACTTTCCAAGAAGCAGACTTGGGAGACAAAGGAAGCATAGGGCCAGCTATAGGGACTAGGAAAAGATTTACAAAAGCAAACCACCACAGATGATGCAAGGCCTTTCCAGTCACAACAGATTGGGCTTTTTTCAGGGGGTCAGATTTGCACTGCTCAGGACAGGACTGAGAAGGAGGCAGTCTGTAGGCAAGTGTAGAAATCAAGAGAGCTCCTTTGTTGAGCTGTTCAACAGAGCTACTTCCTAACCTGTCCAAGTGGGTGGAACATACTCTTCATAGTCAGGGCCTTTCCTCCAGTTCTAAGTGGATCTAGAGGTCAGAACACAGCAAAACGAGGCACATCCCCAATAAAATTCTTGTTTCTGTTCCAGGGAAGTGGTCAATTGGTTGGTGGCAGCAGTTACAGGAATTGGGTTCTCCCAGCCCCGGGAACAGCTGCAAGAAGCCAGGGCTGAACACAGATCATCTTCACCAAGGCTGGCCAGCACTCAGACAGAACAGGCCCAGACAGCTTTCTTTGCCCAAAAGTAAGCTCCAGAATTCCAAACTCCCTGCTGGCATTGTCATGGGCCCAAGTCAGGCAGAAGCCAGAGTCACTCTCACTGTCAGTTCAGGGAAGCCAGGCTGTACCTGTGACCAGCTTTGCTGGTTCTTCTTTGGGTTAAAGACTTGGTGAGCAAAAGACTCTCACCTGGTAGAAAGCTGGCTCAGTGTCATCCTCTTGCACGCAGTGTAAGGCTGGAGCTTGTGGCCCACAGCTCAGGCTGCCCCCTGCTGCTCCCACACTCAGGAGAGCCACCAAGACTTCCCAAGGGTCAATCTGGGGATGAGCTTTGCTTGCAAAAGCATCAGATTCAGAAGCCACCAGGAGACACCAAACCTGGCCCACTGCATTCCCGTACCCCTTACCACACGAGGCTGAAGCAGGGGCCATCCCCAGGCTTTGCTTGGCAAGCTGAGGGGCAGAGCCCCCTGTGCTGACTGTCCCCTCTCACCCAGGACAATGCTCCTGCTCCAGAGGATGTTGGCCATGGCAGTGGAGGTGGACAGATCT